GATTAGTTCCTGTTTCTGTTTTCTTAGAACCTTCATGGCCAATTGGTAGCATTCATAGCACTAATGCTAACAAGCTAAATTCATTATATTACTCAAAAATAAACGGGCTTTATAAGATATTCAGTGCAGACATACATGTTTTAGAGTTTGAGATTAATGGAATTTGAATGGAGTCCGATTGAAAAGAACTTTAAAAAGTTTCTGTAAATGTTTAAATTCATCAAACCAGTGAAATCTTATAGCTGCTGGGCAATAAAGCAGCATTTTCATGTCTAATAATCAGGCGATTTAAGTAATGAAAGCTACCTTTTCAGAATAGCTAATGCTAAAGCTAACAGAGCTAGTAGCTATAATGTCAACAGCTAAGATAAGAAGAGCTAACTTAGCTATTTAGCTAGATAACTGACCTTGACGTTGTTCTGTAACAGTTTATAATTAGTTATGATGTGCTAGCAAACACAGTAACCTAATCACAGTTTAGCTTAGCGCTAACATAATCTGCCTGTTTGTAGCTGACATTGCTGTGATTGTTTTCTTACACAAAGATTAATCTGAAAGTTTTTCAACTTCAGGAATTAATTTAAAAATAACAAAACCCTCCAGATGATCAGGACGGCATGTGTCTGTATTGCATGTTCTCTGGTAATAAGTTCTCACCTCAGCCTGATAATTCAGACTAACTTACTGCCACCATCGTTCTCACCGCAGGTTTGTTCTGAGGAGTTTTGTCTGAGATTTTCCATCACTTGATGCAGGGAGTAAAGCTTAGAGACTGCCAGTTGAGAGATGAGTCAAATATTATTCTGCAAAGGTTCCATTTTTTTGCACTGTGATACAGTGAAGTGAAGGTTAGAAGAAAATTAAAGCAGGACGATGAGTGAAACTACATTGAGACTGAGGACAATTTCTACTCATTCCTATTGACTATATTGACAAAAGTTGAGTTCCCAGCTCAGGGAAGGAGTCAGAAACACAACTCACACAACAAAATATTCTTCCCCATATTATATGCAATGTTGAGTTTAACAGTTATTTAACTGTTACATAACCTTTTATATAAATGTGTGCTTTTACAGCTAAACTGCACAGCTAAACTAACTGTAATGCTGAAGATAAATTATTTGTGTTTAATGGTCCCAGAAACATTAGACAAAAAAAAATGAAGAAAAGAAGAAACATACTGGCAAACATTTTAAATTACGCAACTTTATTAATACAACTGTGCAAAATTGTGACACCAATTTCCTAAAATTAATTGGAGATCTGTGTTTTCATTTCTGTGATCAGAACCCAGGATTTCATCTTTACTGAGCTGTGCCTCGACATTTTAGATATAGACATTGTTTAACAAGTACAAATATAGTATAAAGACTTCAGAGTGCAGTGAACATTTTCACCACTAGAGGTGAACCACTAATACATACAAGTCATCCTGTATTTTAAGGAAGAGACAATCACAATTTTCTCAGGTCATACACACTTGAGATAGGGTCAGACCCTCAAACACACTTTGACCTGGAGATCATTCAGATCATTGTGTTGTTTACAGTGTGGGGTCACCTAATCCAGTTCATTAGATAATGAGGGGAAAAGACCATGAGCCCTGTGCAGTTTGTAGGCTGTGGGGGATAAAAAGCTCTTTGTAGAGTGAGGATCGTCACAGACGCTGCAGTTTGTGGGGTGAAAATAAACCAGTACACAGCTATTAGTAATGAGGCCACGCCCTGTTCTTTCACACGGCTGCTGTGTGTGATCATATATTTCAGTAAGACCACCCTGATGATCAGTATTTCTTCAATATGCACTGACATACCAAAAGTCATGGGGTAGCAGTATTTTAATTGATGATGAAGTGGTGTTCCCACAGGGGCCAGCTTTGGAAACACCTACCTTGTATAAGTTGTGAGGTGTTATCTTGTGAGTGAGGCTGAACACTGGCCAGCCTGCTCACAGCAAGTAGACTTGAATTATGGGACTTCGAACAAGGCAATTTAGTGGGTGCCAGACGTACGGGACATTCCGTGTCCAAAGTTGCACAGTGGCCAACCACAGGTGCTTAATGACTGTGACTGGCGGCATCTGGCTACAATTTTCAATGCGAACAGACAAGCGACTCACATCCACAGAAATCACATCCACATTTAATGCAGGAGGCCCCACACACAGATCCCGCTGGTCAATGCAGCATTCTTTAGTTTCCATGGCCTCTGTGCCTCTGTTAACACCATGACACCGGACATTGCCCCTCACCTGGGCTCGCGAGGTTGCTAACTGGACCCTAAAGGACTGGCAACATGTAGAGTGGTCTGATGAGTCATGGTACCTATTGTTTCGGGCTGATGGTAGGGTTCGTGTGTGGTGCAGACCCCATGAAGACAGGGACTCCAGTTGCCAACAAAGCACTGTGCAGGCTGGTGGTGGTTCCATACTGGTGTGGGGTGTGTTCTTATGGCATGGGTTGGGTCCACTGGTCTGCCTGAACAGATCATTGACCGTGTCACTGTTGACCGTTTGCAGCACCATTTTTTTCTCTCTTTCGTAAATACTCACATAATACATTCACTAATAGTGGATAACATCTGAATTTCTTATTTGTTTATCATTAATTCATTAAAAAGACAGAAAAAGTACACAAAGTAAACTATGAATTTATTAACTAATGATTCAGTTCCTGGTTAATAAATGATTTGTTAATTATGAAGTAGAAGCTCATAATTTCATTATAATCTGTTACACGTGCCAGGGTGTGTGAGGTGGGGCAACAGTTATGTTCCTGAGACAGGATATATAAAGAAGGAGAGGGTGAGGCAGTGGCTTTCTGTTTAAGCTCCCAATAGCATTTTTTTTTCTTTTTATTGAATACAATCTTTAACTAAGGCTTTGGTCTTTCATTTGTCCTTTGTGCAATTTCACAGCTTAGCTCTTCATATCAAAATATACAGAGACATCTTCACGTATGAATACTCAATAGAAGCTCATTCTAGTTCTTCACATAGTTAGATATGTCTAATATCCATGTAGTCACAAATGTGACAAATATCATTATAATCATATCTATACCCATATCTAACCCAATGACAGCTGGGATAGGCTCCAGCCCGCGACCCAGAAGGATAAGCAGTTTAGATGATATATATATATATATATATATTATATTATATATATATATATATACATACATACATACATACATACATACATCATCTAAACCACTTATCCTTCTATATATATATATATATATATGCATACATATATATGTATACATTCTTACCACATTAGCGTTATTACTCTAATACACAAAAACTTGAAAAAGCTTTCTCAATACCTCACATAAACACTCTCAGCTCATTGTGGATCCTTAAGCTCTGTTCAGCATTCTGTTCACAACACTATTCCCATTGTATTAGCTCTTTTCTGCCGTGACTGCACTACATTCATTGGACTTGACCAAAATACTGAACCCAAACAGATTTAAATGTAAAACCAAAAGTAAACACTATCAAAATTACTAAAATTACTTCCTTTTTTCATAAGCAGGCGAACATTACCTCAGTGAAGGCCAACTGCCAGTGTAAACTGGTTTACAGCTGCAAATCCGTCAGTATATGCTAACAATAACTTACTGAGGCTCACTGAACAAGGCTAAATGGCTAAATGCTAGCGGAGGCTCAAAGTTTGTCTACAGGATCCAACAGGCTAATGGCAGCAGAGGCTATGGCTTACTTATAACAGCCAACTGGCTAAAGCTAACGGAGTTTAAAGCTAGTGGAGGCTATAGGTTGTTCATATGAGCTAACAGGCTAACGCTAGCGGTGGTTAAGGCTAGCGGGGCTCCAGCTTGTTTGTAAGGATTGACAGGCTAAAGCTAGCAGTGGTTAACGCTAGTGGAGCCTACAGCTTATCTATAAGGGCCGATAAGCTAAAGCTAGCAGTGCCTGCAGCTGGTTTATAAGGATTAACACGCTAGACTTATTAGAGATTATAGCTCTGACTCCTTTTAGCGTTAGCTATATGAACTGTGCAGTCCCTTAAGCACAACCAATTTATCCACTTACTCTCTCCAAAAGCACACGGAACCACCATAAACTATTACAAGCCGAAATGTTCTAAAACTTGGTAAAAGAACAACCAGGCAATAAGCGTCCGCCATTTCACAGTTTTTGGATGGCACATACTTCACAAAATCGTACTGTTATTTACACATATTTAATGTTTCTCACCATCAAACAAACTCTTCCTATTATAGGTCCCTTTTAACTCAAAATATAGTGCTTTTGTGAACTTATTTCACTTCCCTACCTGAGAGAGGATATATAAAGAAGGAGACGGTGAGGCAGTGGCTTTCTGTTTAAGCTCCCAATTGCATTTGAGAAGTTTTTTCCTGAACTGCTGAAAGCCACAAACTGGTGTCTGCCACTGCTACAGCACCCCCTAATGGCAGGGCTTATTCTTACCCATACATTAACGTAAAGAAAATGTCATGTAAAATAAAACACATACATTTCCATATATAAAAAAATTAACATAAATGTAAAATACCTAGAGTGTGTCACATAATGTAACAGTTTATATGCCTCTTACAAAGTAATGTGAATGTATTAGTGGTGGATGACTCTAAATTCCTGATTACTTCATGATTAGGTTATTAGCTAATAGATGTCTTCTAAATTATGGTTTTATGAAGTGTTATCAGTGATTGTAAGAGTGCTGCGTCATGGTGGTCAGTTATCATGCTGACCCCTCTCTTTATTTCAGGCAGGTGGAGTTTATTTCACACACAAATACAAACACTTTCACTGTGCAACACCTTCATCACCAGCTTCTGAACAATGTACAGACACAGTTTGGAGCCCACCGACTCATAGAAGGGTCTTCATCTTTTTAGACCATCTTACATATTAGAATAACAGTGAAGACGTCAAAAGTATGAAATATCACACATGGAATCACACAGAGACCAAAACAGTGTTAAACTAATCAAACTATCTTCTCCTTTTAGATCTTTTAGAAAGTAGCCCCCCTTTACCTTGATGCAGTTTAACCCACTCTGGATCTTTCTCTCCAGCAGCTTCATGAGGAGCCGCCTGAGACGCTTTTCCAACAGGACTGAAGAGACTCACAAGCTGAGACCTTGTTGCTGAAAACCACTTGTTGGTACAGATTCAGTCACTTAAATTCACTGTTTATATTTGTCTTCAAACAAACTGAATTTGAATTGGAACATGAGATAAAAATGTGTTTAAAATGATAAAAAATGAATATGCAGTTCAGTGTGTCCAAACTTTTGACTGGTAGTCTACATGAATTGTACAGCTTTGTTTTTTGGACAGAACTGTATTTGTGATGAGTCGGCAATTTTCTCCAGGATTATTAAAGATTCTATCAGTCTAAAAAAATAACACAGTTCATTAAACAAACAGTGTAAATAATATTTTGAGTGTATCTATAAAGTAACAATCATATTTAATAGATAAATCATTATTTATCACATAATCTCACAGATGATCCAACACCATAAACTCCAAACCCAGCGTAGAGCGGCTGAGTGAATGTGGTGTGGACTGTGTGTAGGAGGGTCATTGTGTCAGAGACGCTGTAGAAGGACAGAGTTCCTGCACTGTGATCCACATACACTCCTATTCTGGAGGATGATGGTCCTGAGATCTCAGTCTGAATGTTGTTGTGCAGGAAAATGAAAGAGGAAGAACACCGCAGACTCCAGGACTGACTGTTGTTTCCAAACCCACAATCATCACCCCAACCTTTCCTGCTGATCCCTTTATATGAGACTGATATGTACACAGTTCCTCTCTCACTGCTCCACTCAACCTCCCAGTAACAGCGTCCACTCACACTCTCCTTACACAACACCTGATAGAAGCAGTTAAATCTCTCTGGATGGTCAGAGTATGACTGGGCTTCATCACTGTACGTCACCACTCTGTTCTTCTCAGACAGAATGAGGTGACGATACGCTGTGTTGGGATCCAGAGTCAGCTGACAGAAATCTAAAAAAGAGAAAATTAGATTTTATTTAAATGATTTATTTGATAAAAATTCAGTGTCAGTGTTTTTCATCTTTAATCATTTCCATGTAAATAATTTAGACTCATAACTGAGTAATAATAATAATGAGTAATGAGAAATAATTAGACTCCTGAATAAAGTTCACCAAGAACAACAGATCAATCAAATTTAAACACGACAGAAATACAAACAATATCTGTGTGTTTGTGTGTGTGTGTGTGTGTGTGTGTTTGTCTTACTATACTTGTGAGGACCAGTGCAAGTTTTTAACCTTTCGAGTGAGGTCATTTTCAGGAAGTGAGGTCATTTTCAGGAAGTGAGGTCATTTTGCTGGTCCTCACTTTTTTTTCATTGTAATCATCTCCTTTTATCCTGATGGTCCTGGTGAATTTTACACCAGTGCTCAGTGGCGCCCCCTTTAATCCCTGCACGAGCACAGCACTCAAATGACCTGAGCGGATTATTAAACAGCTCCATATTTACTATTAAACACATCCTGGCAGCCGAAAGTTCGCCGGACTGAGCTGAAACACCCTTTAACTTCCACACAGAGCCTCAGAAACTCAGCCCATCACAGCTCTTAGCCTCCCTGCTCATCTGAGCGCTTTAGCGATGAGCACAGCAGCGATCTGAGCCGCCATGACCGACAGAGCCTGTAGAGCAGAAGGAGCCCGCCTACAAGGCCGTCTGACCAATAGTGGCTGAGCGACAGAGGCTCCAGCCAATCAGGTTCTAGACGGCTCCGTACGGACGAGTAAGGAGTCCGCTCTGCTGCCCGAGCGCCGCCCCCAAACAGAACCACCGTTTCTGACTGGCTGAAACCTCCGTCAGTTAAAACACCGAGCTTTGCCCACGATGGACCGAGATTCACCCACCAATCAACAGAAGTACAGCATCAGTGCAGCAATAGTGACGCCACACGAAACAACTCGCTCAGAAAACGACAACCGGCCGCTAAACGAGTTTAAAATGCTGAGACGACACAGCAACACCACATTCACCACACCCGCTGCTGCAGCACGAACCGCGATTAACGCTCAAAAAGCACAGAATCACCACAAAAACCACACAACTACCACAAAACAACCACCACAACACAAACCTGCACATCGCAAAGAAGCACAACAAGCTCACACTGCGCAGCGGCGGACATCAAACCCTTTTTCTGACCTTATGAAGACTAAAGCGCCGGACAATGTCTGAAGAGTGACGGTTAGATCCGTAATAAACCCAACACCGGAACAAATCTGACCAAATGAGGACAAATAAGCTGTAAAAGTGTAGATTTACTACACCAAAGCGCTGAAGTACATTAAAGCAGGTAGTTCAGCGATTTCTGACCAGGAGATCGAGCCTGTTTACGCACGACTGGATGGTCTGAATCTAAGAATCGATTCTTGAAACCCTCGAGTCGACTCATTTCCATAACTAGCGAATAGCTGAACGGAATAAACTCCTGAAGATGACTCGATTGAATCAACAGAATCGATTCCATTGTCATCGACGAGCCTCAGAGAAAGGAATCGACTCTGTTGATTCAACCGAGTCGTTTCCATCCAGTATATCCGCGCTGTACCGAGTCAAACTGTTTTTTTAGTGCTTAGTGCGAGTCTTTAGTTCAGAAACAGAGACGCTGTTAATTATTCTGCTGTTCATGTTTTGTTGTTTAAAGAAAGGACTGCAAGTTAAATTCCAACAGTAATTCAGCTCAAATAAGATCTAAAATGCTCTAAAATGATCTGAAACGATCTGAAAATCTTGTATGTATTGCTCACTTCTCTGCTGAGGTGGTTAGCGTTTTGTATATATGTATTATGTATGTATTTACCAGACACCTGATATCGCTGATTATTAGTAAAAACTAGAACAAACAAAAATTAGCAAACACTGGCTAATGTAATATCATGGAGTGTGCAACATGTTCCTAAGAGATACTCAGCTGTTCACGCTCTTGTATCCTATTAGCTAGGAATAAAGCGAGGGGCAGCTTACCAAGGCTGTCATTCTGATTCACATATAAGATACACGTGTGTACTTACAAAACCTTTCTTTCACAATGCTTTAAAAAAGGGTTGACCCAGAAGTGATTTATAGGTGAACCACTCCTTTAGCTAATGGTGCTTTAACCTTAATTCCAGCCATCTTCAAATGAAATGTTGATTCGTTATTTGAACGTACAGCTAGTTATGGAAAGTTCGATTCGTTCTTGTTGAACCGATTCTTTTGAACTGCTTCTTTCAAGTCTAATGTATGCAACTACTGCACTATTTAAGGTGGAATGGCAACATTTAAATACGCAGCTGGCGAGGTAGAAGCCAGTTTCAGCTTCTTAGAGCATGAGGTCAGTTAATAAATCGGTTGAGTCGGGCGTTGGATTTACTGAACAGAATAGTTCGAAAGAACCGATTCAGTAAAATTAATCGAACTTCCTATCGCTACGTACGGCGCTGGTCCTTAACGAGTCTCCTGCTGTGCGACTGACCTCTCAGAGCGACGAGCTGATACAGCGTTTTCTGGAGCTGCGTCATTTCACAAGCCTCCAGACAGGCGAGCGCTGTTTTCTCTTACTTTCACACTTTTAACACCACGTTCTGACTTAAATACTGAGCTGTGGTCTTTTGGTAAACGGTGTTTTTCCTTTGTTTAGCTTCAGTAATGTGTGTGAATGTGTGTGTGAGTTTGTGTGTGTGTGTGTGTGTGTATGTGTGTGAATGTGTGTGTGAGTGTGTGTTTGTGTGAGTGTGTGTTTGTGTGAGTGTGTGTGTGTTTGTGTGTGAGTGTGTGTGTGTGTGTGTGTGTGTGTGTGTGAGTGTGTGTGCGTGAGTTTGTGTGTGTGTGTGTGTGTGAGTGAGTGTGAGTGTGTGTGTGTGTGTGTGAATGTGTGTTTGTGTGTGTGTGAATGTGTGTGTGTGAGTTTGTGTGAGTGTGTGTGTGTGTGTGAGTTTGTGTGTGAATGTGTGTTTGTGTGTGTGTGAATGTCTGTGTGAGTGTGCGTGTGTGTGTGTGTGTGTGTATGTGTGTGTGAGTATGAGTGTGTGTGTGTGTGTGAGAGTGTGTGTGAGTGTGTGTGTGTGTGTGTGTCTGTGAGTGTGTGTGTGTGTGTGTGTGTGTGTGTGTGAGTGTGTTTGTTACTCATACACTGCAGAAAATCTTCTCTGGTTTTTGGTTCTGAGGATAAAATCTGAACTGCTGCAGCTGTGGAGACACAAACACACACAACAGACCAACACAGTCAATAGAATAGAATAGAATAGAATAGAACAGAATCAAACCCCTTTTCCAAAAAAGTTGGGACGGGGCAACAAAAGGCTGGTAAAGTTGTGTAAAGCTAAAAAACACCTGGTGGTTGATTGACAACAGGTCAGTAACATGATTGGGTATAAAGAGCATCTCAGAGAGTCTTTCAGAAGTAAAGATGAGGAGGGTTCACCACTCTGTGAAAGACTGCATCATCAAATAGAGCAACAATTCAAGAAGAACGGTTCTCAACATAAAATAGTGAAGAACCTTTACTTTTCATCATCTATGGTACAGAATATCATTAAGAGACTCAGAGAATCTGGAGAATCTCTGTATTTAAGGGACTAAAAACCAGTATTTTTGGCCCTGTTGAGCTGAAATCCTGTATCAAACAAGAACAGGAAAACATTTCACTTTCAAAACCACAGCAGCGTCTCCTCAGCTCCCAAACGCTTACAGAGTGTTGATAAAAGAAGAGGTGATGAAACTCGGAGGTAAACAGGCCCAACTTTTTTGGAACGTGTTTTTTGGCATCAAATTCAAAATAGGCAAATATTTTTCAAAAAAACAATAAAATTAAAAACACCAACAATACAAAAATACATTTCCAATCAGTCGTATTAATATTTTCACTTTAATTATACAGTTTCTATGAATTTTGCTCTTTTACTGTTTCTGTATAAATAAAGATTTCCATCCTTCTGTTCCACAGCAGGACAGCTCCTCTTACCATGTGGAGGGATTTTACTGAACTCCTCTCTGCAGAACTCCTCTAGTCGCTCCTTCAGCTCAGAGAGAGATCTCCTCACTCCATCAAATGAGAGGTGCTGATGGACAGTGATGCTGGGTGAGTCCTCAGATCCAGAAGAGACACAGAGAGACTGGAAACTCTACAGAGAGAACAAACACAGTGGAGAAAGATAAAGGAGTACGAGAGAAATGAAGGAGCTCCAATCAGACTAAAGACAGACTTGTGATCACAGACAGGTAGATTTACTGCTGCCTTAATGAACTTTTGCTGAGAGGAGTTTTAGAAGCTGGATGAGGAGCAGGTTCCTCTGTAGATCAGTGATTGTTACCTGGAGGAAATGGATGTGATCCTCTGTGTGTGAAAGCTGCTCCAGCTCAGTGTGTCTCCTCTTTAGATCAGCGATCTCCTGCTCCAGTTTCTCCAGGAGTTCTTCAGCTCCACTCAGTTCAGCCTCCTCCTGAGCTCTGATCAGCTCTGTTACCTCAGAGCGCTTTTTCTCAATGGAGCGGATCAGTTCAGTAAAGATCCTCTCACTGTCCTCCACTGCTGACTGAGCACAGCGCTGTTAGGACAAGAACACACCAGATGGAGGAACATTTCACCTCTTAAACTGAGCCGCATTATTCAGTCATTCATCTCAACGTTTATCATTCAGTAACTATATGAAACTAAAGGAAATCTACAGCCACATTCAGGATCTTAAAGGGTTAAAAGAACAGTTAAAAAATCAAATATGCTCAGTTTTCCCCAAATTACCTTCAATGTAGTTATAATGTAATATAAGATTATCTCTCTTATCATGGTGTAAACTGCATGACTATATTCTCACAGTTAACAAACCACACTGAGTTGTTAAATAATGTAGAACAGACTTGTTTGTAGTTACTGACACTGTAAATAACATCTATAAAATAAAGAAGAAAACTTTTGTAGCTATGTGACATTATTTTGTCCGTGTTTACAGATAACAGTGTGTCATACAGTGTCAGACCCACATAAGCAAGTCTATTAGGCCTTTTTCAGCCAGACAGCCCAAAGGTGAGTTTTTGTCATATCCGATTTGAGCTGAACAGATTTCCTGCAGTCTGAATCACAAAAAGCCACTTCAAACCACTTCAAGCCACTTTTGTTTACTGTTGGAAAAAAAGGTTCTGTGCAGGTTCGTATTTCAGTCCTCAAGGTACATAAAATATAAACGTACAACAGCGGATTTAATGTCTAATTGCGTACCTTAAATACGTTTTTCCCAGGAAAATGTACATTATTACCTTTTCATGACCAAAAGTTTTAAATCGAACAATGAAATAAAAAGGCTGGAGACGAGACGGACTGTGTGGAGTCAAAACAACTTAAAAATGTACTTGCAGTAGAATTTGATACATTTGTGTTCCCTGACTAAAGGTACTGAAGTCGTACCCTTGTCAGCACCACTGTGACAGTTTAGGACCTTTTTCTGAAAGTGCAGGTGGTTCTGAATCTGATTCAAATCAGATTTATGGATATGTGACTCAGTTTGACTCGTCAGATCAGATTTTGTGTGTGTTTTCCGTCAATCAGGGCGACAGTTCATTACAGCTTAAAGATGGAGAGTAGAAGTTTTTAAAAGACATTTAAGAAACATAGTTTTACTTTATATGTTGTAGTTTACAGAGACTGATTCATTAAAAGACGCCTACATTAGTGTCTCATTCTCTTCATGCTGCAGTCGATAAAAAGTGAAACGCTTTACTTTTGTTAGTAATCAGATCAGATTTGTGTGTCCAGACGTTACCAGCCTCTCTGTGTGGGTTGCCATGGCAACGATGTAGGTGTCAGTAACTACGTAGCTAAGCTGGTGATGTGTATTTGAAACGTGAAAAATGGAGGTTCATCATCTCTCCCTCCAAACTCTTCAGAATTCTCTGGAATAATCCAGAACTACTGGAGCTCTTCTTGCATCCCAGAACTTCAGTCACTCTGGATTTAACCACGTTGTTGCTTGTCGCATTGGGAGTGACACAAAAGACACTTTACAATCCGATTTGAGTGTCCAGACTGAGACTCATCTGTAAAAATCTGATTGGATTTGCATTTCAAACCACTTCCAAATATGGTTTGGATCTGATTTGCAAAATTTGTGATTTTTCAGTGTCCAGACTATCACAAATAAATCTGGATACATTCTGATTTTGTCAAAAATCAGATTCGGGCTGGCAGTCTGAACAGAGCTGTAAAGTCAAGTCACCAGTAATCAACCAACGACACGACACCAGTGCTGTCAACAGTCTGACACAACTGAGCAGGTAACAGCTGGCTGTGAATGATGTACTATACGGTGCCCCCACACTATACACTATATACAGTACCTACATCCTAGTGGATTGAATACATGTACAAATCAGCTGCCAATCACCTGATACTGTGATTAATAAGTCTTATAATGTAGATCTGATTTCTCACCAAACAGTTCCTTTAAAACTGAACCATCATTTCCTCTCTTACTGTGATTCTAGATGACTTACTGTCCACACTGTGGAGGAGAGACTGACTGAGCTCTGAAACACCAAATCTCTGCTCAGTTCTCACCTTAAGAGTCTTCACAGTCTGTTTCAGCTCCTGCTGCTTCTTCTGCTTCTCCTGGATTCTCTGCTGGAATTTACTCTGAATCTCCTTCAGCTGATTCTATGAACAAATACATTTTGTGATGTTTATGAGTTTTTTGTGAATTAAAACCTAAAAACATGTTCTTGTTCTGTACAGTTTGCTCTCTGTCATGTGATCACTGTAAGACTGGAAGACGGGTGTTGGCTGGTCACATGATCACTGACTGGTCTGACCTGTTTACTGAAAACTACCTTACGCACAGTTTCTCTGAAAACTCACTGCTTGAATTCAAGAACTGAGAGATCAGTTTAAACTGTTTACCTGATTAATGCAGCTCATTCTAGACTACAAACCCAATCAGCCTGAACTGAACCCAAATGATTTCTAGTTCTCACCTGTTTCTCGGTTCTCTCTGTCACAGCTGGGACTGTATCGTGACCTTTGTGCTCTGCCATTGTACATAAATAGCAGATGCAGCTTTGGTCAGTACGACAGTAGATCTCGATCAGTCTGTCGTGCTGAGAGCAGATCTTCTCCTGTAGCTGTGAGGAGGCTTTGACCAGCTTGTGCTTCTTCAATGCAGGAACTTCACAGTGAGGTTTAAGATGAGTTTCACAAAAGGAGGCCAGACACGTCAGACAGGACTTGATGGCTTTGAGTTTTCTCCCAGTGCAGAAATCACACTCCACATCTCCAGGTCCAGCGTAACGGGGAGCAGGAGAAGCAGCTCGGAGTTCTGTCTCCTTCAGTTTCTCCACCACTTCAGCCATTACGTTGTTTCTGCGTAGAACAGGCCTTGGAGTGAAGGTCTCTCTGCACTGGGGGCAGCTGTAGACCCCCCTCTGATCCTCCTGATCCCAGCAGCCATTAATACACACCTTACAGTAACTGTGTCCACAAGGAAGAGACACTGGATCCTTCAGCAGATCCAGACAGACTGGACAGCTGAACTGGTCATGATCTACTGAAATACTGGCCATTTTCCTGCCCTTCTAGTCTGAGAGAGAGCAGCTCTCTGAGATCAGTTTCGTTTTCTCTGAACTGAGTAGGAGGGACTTCCTGGTTTTCTGCTGGTTAGTGTGTCACAGAGAGGAGGTGGAGAAAGAGAGGAGGAAAATGAGAGACTACAGTTATTTTCCTGTACAGTTGCTGGAATTTCAAGGAATAAAAAGTTGTGCAGCTCAGAAATGAAAGTAACAGAGGAAACTGACTCCAGCTTGTAAGAGAGCTGCAGTGTCTGTGAGGTTCTTCACTTCTCTGCTTCATTACTGCAGCTGAGAAATGAAAAGAGCACCATCTCAGTCCTTCTGCTGTGACCTCCACTGACCTCAGAACTGACCCAGACCGTCCATTTAAAGCAGTAATGAAATTTACAGCAGTTCTCATATATATTGTCAGAATAAGCTCATCACTGATAACAGATCAAAGTATTCATGTAGTAAAACCTTCATAGAAAAGGAAACTATTTGCATCTTTTAACTCTAGTTAACCTGTTAAAGTCCACAGAACTGTCTGCAGTTCAGAACTTGCTGTGGTCACATTCTTTACTTCATAACTTCAATATTTTATAAGTTAAATGAAAGATGGAGGTGTCTTATTAAAGCTGCAACTCTCCTTTCTACTCAGGTAATGACAGCTAAGCTAATGAAGGCTTTTATTATAGCATAATCCAGACTTTAAGTCCAAATGTAAATTTGACAAAGTTAATCCAAATTATTGATTATGTTTAATTGCATTTTTAATGTGTGCTTTACTAAAGACATGATTCATGTTTTGCATTTTCATTTCTGTGCATACTGGCAGTTCAAGTTAACATGGAAAAGCAAAGTGTGACGCTGTGACAGAATCCAGACGCTCGCAGATAAAAAGGGCAAACCAGGTTTTATTATAGTTCAGCAAAATCGTGTCCAAAAAGCAAGCACGGGTCGGAGCCAAAAGACAACAGGATAACACGATAGTGATCCTAACACTAAGCATACAAAACCACAGGGAGGAGCAATAGTCATAGTCAGAAGTTCGGGCAAAAGGGGCAAAAACACAGGTTCAAAAACAATCCGGCAAAGGTACAAAAGGGAGTAGCAAAAGACAAGGTCAGGTAATCGAAACAAGGGTCATAACAGGCAGCAATAAGAGTATAGAAAACGCTCAGTAAGTTCGGGACGAAACAATACCTCGCACTGACTAGTACTAAAGTACTAGAGTACTAAAGCCCGGGCTTAAATACTGAACTAAAGGGATCATATGATGTTAGACACAGGTGCATACACTCAATACTCAGGGGATTGCGAACGCTGATAGGTCCGTGAGTGATTGTCCACAGTCATGTGACCTCCTGAGGGATTGTGGTTATTGGAGTTCATTCTGAACTCCGAGAATGTAGGACGCTGCCCAGACACGTGATCTCCCGACTCATTCTGGGAAATGAAGTCCGAATCAGCCTGAGGCGTGACACAAAGTGCATTAGACATTTTATATTTATTTTTTTTAATGGTCTGACTTGGACTTTGGAAAAGAAAAAAAACAGTCACCTGTTAAATGAAAATGCACTTGCAATCCTATCTTTAACATTCAGCGAGGTACTCATTCCTATCAAATGCTGTGGGTGGGACATAAAGAAGGGCATTTTAGTGTGGGGTGTATTTTTAGAAAAAGTGACAAGTCCAAACTTCGGCAGTGCTGGAGCAGAGCTAGCAACAGCAAACACTGTGTGACATTTTAACTCTCGCTAACCAGGCCGAGGATCATTCTGTCCAAAGTGATTTTTGTGTGGAATTGAATCTTGACTGACTAGGAGAGCTTGTGGCTGTACAAGAACCAGAGTTACTGACATGGTGACCAGTGTTCTGATTTATTGTGCTACTTTCTTGAAATGTCCCACCACAGATGAAGGAAATTACTTATTCCAATTTTCATGTTCCACCTTAAATGGTGGCCTGAGGTGCCAGAATGTAAATATGGCAAGAAGCTGGTGAATAAGTGTCTGACTTCAGCTACTTTTACCGTAGTGCATATACGTGGCTCCCTACATAAAACTGCAGATAGGACAGTTTTGGGCAGAAACTCACAGGACTTTGAGAAGACCTGGATGACCAGTGGTGGAATATTCTCATTAAGGAGGCTCAGGGCCACTGTGGGTTAGCGCAGTGTTTCCCAGCCCTGGTTCTGGAGGAAACCAGGCTGCTCAGCTCTGACTGTTTGTAATGTGTGTGTTAAAGCAGTGAAAGCACTAAAACATGCAGGGCAGTTTCTCTGACAGTCCTGCGAGCACAGTCACAGTAGCTGTTGGTATCGGTAGATCTGTATTGTATTAAACAAGCATCTAGCACAGCTGCAGATCCAACAAAGTTTAGACCTTTTCATCACTTCATCCTAAAACCCTTCCTACTCTTAAAAGCCCCCCTATGTCCCACCCACACTGATTGACAGGAGAGATTCATTGACAAACAGGATTGCAGTTGCATTTTCATTTTGGCGTTAAGCTCCACGATGAGGAAATACAATTGCAAATGGGCAACATTTAATATGTCAGAGTCAAAACATTTAGACACTGAAAATGAAACGTCTAAAGCACTTTGCTTTTCTATGCTCACTATAACAGCCATTATGGACAGAAGTGCAAACTGTCACGACCCCACATTTTGTCTAGGGTGCCGTGGGATCAGTAACATGTGGCATTCAAATACTGAACTGGTGAAAATGGATCAGAAGCACAAGCAACAGACCAATATAGACCTATTGAAGCCATTTTTATTAAAACAAACCTCAATAAAACCTGCTGTGATACCCAATACCACACTGGAAGAATCAAACTGGACGGCACCAAAGAAAAGAACAAATCAAACCTGACCACACTGGCCTACTCTGAAACAGGAAGTATTTAGCTAACCTAAAAAAAGGAAGCAAAAGCTAACTACTCTAAACTTTCCTAACCAGTAACCAAAATAACATGTGGTGGTGCCCTCTGACTTAGGGAGCTAGACAGAGTAGACATCCACATGGTGCGAATGTATAGGCACCCCCCTCTTACCTGTTTGAAACCCCAAGAGGTACAAACAATCTCCTGTAAAACAAAGTTAAAACCGTGCAGATAAAATACCAACTAAAGTCCTTCACCTTACATAAAAGACAAGGTCTGGCAAACTAAGTTAAAAGAAGCACAGATAAAACACCTAAAACAAAGCAGACGCTCAACACCAGAGATTAAACACACAAACTACAACAGCTCACATGGTCAGGCCTCGCTCTCTTCAGCCTCTTTTAAAACATAGGCTCCTCCCCCAACTGCACCACCCAAGCCTCTGATTGGTTCTCCTCACATGACTGTTTGCAGAGCAGGTACCTCTGTGAGAGAAAGAGAGAGAGAGAGAGAGAGACAAAAAAATACAAAATACATGCTGACACACATCACAAACATACATTTTACGTTTGAATGATGTCTTTGATAATGAACACTCACATTTCAAATGCAGTTGTAAATTCATTTTGAATTAGCTTTTTTTAATTTTCCTTTGAATTTGAATGAAGTCTGGAATTCGCTGTCATAAGCTTTGCTTTATATAAGCCATGTGTTTAACTATAGCTGATAAATATGAATTATGATTATGAATAGTTTGAGAAAAAAATTGTCAGATTTTTCTTTTTTTTCCATATTTAAAAAAATGTTTAGACTTTGTCTCACCTGCATTTCATCAGAGCACAGAACGTGTCTAGAAATCTGCTGTCACGCATCCCTCTGGCTCTGAGACCTTCATGGACTACGTCTCCCAGAATCCTCTGGGAGATCATGTGACTCCTGACCCTCCACCACACTCCAATCCCCGTTCAGCCTCTCCTGAATGCTAATCAGATGCACCTGTTTCTGTCTTTGTCCAGTCAGAGTCAGTATAAAGCCGGCTTTCAGTTCAGCTCTCTGTGAGGTGTTGAATCTTTCCAGAGCTGCTGAGTTTTCTTTGGTGGTGTTGTTTCTGGATCTGACTGCTTTTCTGTGTTTTTGGCCTCTTTGCCCTCTGGACTCTGTCTGCCTCTGGTTCTGTTAGTTTGTTTGTACTTTGTCTATTTTGGATTTGACCCAGTTCTGTTATTTGACTGTGGTTTTGGATTACGACTCAACCAGTAAAGCCTTTTTCCCTTTTTTCATCCGCGAGCGTCTGAATCATTCTGGCGCGTTACATCAGCTCAGACAGCTAAACCTGCTCGCGTTTTAGCAGAGAGGTAGAGTGAAGCGGCTCGGTTGGCTGTGATGTAAATGCAGCATGGATTCAAATATATTTGTAGCCAGCAGCTACGATCATTAGCACTGACCACACTCAGCCTGGAGCTCTTCTCTTTCCTCTCCAGAGTCTTTTCACAAAACTCTCCAAACTCAGCGTTTAACACCAATAAAGATCATTGTTAACATGTTCAAACACATTTTAACCCAAAAGCACATAATATTTACCTCAGTTTCAAAGCTTATAAACTCAGTATAGAACGGCTAACTGTTAGCATAAGAGAACAGGGATTTCCCATTAAACCGTTAGCATTATGGCTAACTATGGAGTTAGCATTAACCACAGCTCATTCACTCACCAGAACAGGAGAGTCTGAGCTTCAGTATCACCTCAGGCGACACCAGGTCATCAGCTAAACCACACATTCTTCTAAATGTTCACACTTTACATGGAAAACTTGGTTCACATCAGTGAGATGGTAACATTAAAAGATGTAGATTTAAACTATATTGTCTGTTCTGTTCATGTATGTTTAGTTTTTATTCTTTTGAATTATTTCTAAGTATTTTTACATTTTTCTATTTTTCAATAATATCAGTAAAGAGACTCACATATTATATAATTATTTTCTTACTGAAGGTTTTTTACTGTTTTAATCTGATCTTTTATGATCACATTTGAGATCTTTTAGCAGTGCCAGCCACAGTATAAGCATTTAGACTCTCTACTGAATAAATAAATACGTTAATAGATAAATAAGTAACCAGATAAATAACACTAGTTATAGTTTGGGTGCTTCTTTCTGTGTTTCTTTACTGTCATTAATGTTAATATAATACAGTAACACAGAAAACCTTATACACACATTCACACTGACACGCACAACATGCTGAGTAAAGCTGGTCTTAGGTGGTCAAACACATCTGAACATGACAATGTTAACACACATATTCATACTGGTTTGCAGCTTTGGGGGTCTTGCTGTGTGTGTTCTGTGAAGCTAATGATATTTTCAGTATTTCAGTATTTGGTGTGTCTCTCTTTACCTTTATTACAGCTTCCATTCTTATCAAGAGACTCTTTTTCAGTTCCTCAAAGAAATCTGTAAGAATGTTTATCCACAGCTCCAAAGTTCAGTCTTAGGAGTTGGTTGCACGTTCAGCCTCTCACGATCCAAATCATCTCAAACCCATTCAGTGATGTTGAGGTCTGGACTCTGGGGTGGTCAGTCCATTGTTCAGCTTCTTTGTTTGATGTGTCCGTCTCCTTTTCTCAGTGAGGTTCTTCTTGAACAGCTACACATCCTTTCAGACCCAGAGCGCCGAGTCGTCTTCTCACAGTGGAAGGATGGACAGAAACACCTGTGGATGTTTTCAGATCTGAAGCAGCTTGATTTTCTCCTCTCTCTCAAAGATGAAATCTTTAAGTGCTGTTTATCTGATGGGGACAGTTTTGGTGGTCTACTAGGTCTTCCACGTGGTTGTTAGGAGACCCCATTGTCTCTGTAGCTTGAACTTTTTTTTTGGAAACTCCTGTTTTTCCCTCATCTTTATGTTTAAGTGGATCATCTCAAAACAAAATATCTCCTGAAAAGATTAATAACTTGTATGTTTTGGCCGTGTTGACTGGAAATGAAATACACAAAGGGTGGTCTCTGACTTTTGCTCAGTACTGTCCATTCTGGAGTCCCTTCTCTCTCCTCTGTGCTGCACACTGAGGACGTCTCCCTGAACCCTGACCTTCATGCTGGAGCCCCGCTCTTTTGAGCTCTCCTCTCCAACACCTGTCACTGATCCAATGTTCAGTAGAGGTGTGAGGACAAATGGAGATGCTGTCAGATGAACTGGACACTGTGGAGGAGATTCAGACACATTTTCCGTTTTGTTTCCTACGTTTGATTTTCATACACTGTGTAAAAAAAACCTAATAAATGATTTTTAAAGCTGAAAAAATGATGAACGGTTTGTCACAAACTGATTTTCTATACCCGACACAGCTGCCACTGCTAATTCAGACTGAAATCTGAAAGGTACACAGGATATGAGCCGTGCTGCTCTTCCTGCTCTTCCACTCTTAATGAGAACATCTGCAGTGAACATTCTCGCTCACAGACAGTGGCTCTCCAGTTGCTGCAGCTGGTCTCATCTTAAATCCTGCATTTTGAACCACAGGCTGCATTATTTACCTGTATTTCCCAAGAAATGGCATCAATGTAGTGTAACCTGGTTCTCTAGGTGGGTCCCTTAGACTGAGGCCCAGCGCTGTTTGGTGGTTTATCTGCTATATCACTCCAACCAAACCTGCTAACTGACTGATGAGGTGAATCAGGTGAGCTTGAGCAGGAAAATCACCAAACTGTGCTGGAATCTGGGCCTCCTGGACTGGAGTTCCCACCCCTGCAACAAACAGAGACAACCAACACAATAAAGCTTGAAGAAATCAGTGAAATATTAATTGCACTGTGTCGTCCCTCACTAGTGTACATATCCAACTACATCCTGCTGTAGAGGGCAGTGTGGCTCTACTTCAGTGCTTAATGATGCATTAATACAGTTTATTACTGTTACGCTGCCAGATAAGCTCACCTAACTACAGGCTACTGAATTAGCATGTGTGCTAACAGGTGCAGAGCATTAATAACATCTTATTTTAATTCTTTCAAGAGCCTTAATTAAGATTCTCACATATAATTCTGGATTTATTTTAGACTTTCATGTCAGTTCAACAGTAAATAACTTTTTTATACATAAGTGTGTTTTTACAGCTAATCTGTTATGCTGTGGGTAAATTATTAGCATTGAATAGTCCTAGAAATATCAACCATATAACTATTTAATAATTCATTAATATAATGATAGAAAGCGTCTGGCTGTTGTTTGGTATCGAATAAGATATTATATGATATGAAACCAAAAGTATTCAAGCTAAACTGACTGTGTAGGTTTTCAGATGCTGATGAGCTTCAGAGTGCTGTGAACATCTCCACCACTAGAGGGAGCCGTCAAACCACTAACCAACATATATGAGACTTTTCCAGTGAAGTCTGTCTGCAGAGCCGCAGTGCTGCACTCTCAGACCTGGATATGATGTCACACAGAGGTCGTAGGTTCTAGATATGCTTTCTGAGACAATATGGTTTCACAAAAAGCGCATTAGTGACAAAGTAAGACTGAGCTTAGGTTCATTAGATCGTACAAATTCAGTGTTTCTCTAAAGGTTTTACTCCTTTTTGGACTTTTATAGAGCTTTTGACCCTGTTGAGAAAAAGTCTCTCCAAGTATTATTCATATGTTTATAATTTTATATTTATTTTTATTTATAGGCTGGTTTATTTACATTATTGGTAGGTTTTGTGTGGGAATCAATACTTCTGTAATTGTTAATTGTAGTACTTTTCACTGATTTGTCATAAATTGAGGAGTCAGACAAGGTCGACCATTTTCACCCTTATTATTCATTTCAGTTACTGTCATTAATTTTAATACATGAAAATCGTCTGGAAGGATTTTTAGTTTTTGATCAGTAAATTAAAATCTCACAGTGATCAGTCGACTGTACTTTGTTTCTGAAAGGTCAGTTGTGGAACACGAGAAAAGTAGCTGAGCAGTTTTCTTACGCTTTAGGTTTGAAACTGAATGAGACAAAATGGGAAATAACGTCTCTTTATGCACTAAAACTCTGATTCATGACACTCAAGTTAAAGACACAGTGAAGAACCTCAGCATTCATAGAACCACTATTTCCCAAATAAGAGTTTCATCATCAGGCTCTCCCTGCCTGGGAATTATGCCTTGTCCACAGTTTCTGACCACATAGGTCACTCTTATGGAATAATCCTGATGTACCTATAAGGAATAAATCTTCTGAAATGGATTCAAAACAATATTAACAGTGTTTCTTTCTATATCTGATGAATCTGGCAGTGTGTTTTCTTATGAGTGTGTTCTGTCTGTGCATGACTTCCTTTCCCCTTTATAGAACAGAACTCTTTGATTAGAGTGATTCCTGATGGTCTTACTTCCCTTGTTGAAGGTCAGTTAGTGGTGTGATGCAGTAATAATAAGCATTTCAGCAGATTCTTAAAAGATTACCCATAATTCCTCCTACAGGCTTTGTTCTACTGGATGTTTTTCATTGGGGGTGTAAATTGGAGAAGGACTTGGCTTTTACCTCCAAAATGTTGTCCAATACATCCAACAAGGCCAAAGAAATTCATCTAAGATCCACCATGAGAATCTGAGTCTGTGGACATCGACAGCTCTTCAGCCCCTTTTGTGGATCTGCTGATCTGCTTCATTCATTCACTTTTCAGTGTGAAGTAAATAATAGATTCTAGTCTCATTTACTGGGCTCACATTTTTAACCCTGTCAAACTTCTTTACTGAACTCAAAGACTTCATCTGATATTATAATAATCATATTAAACCTGTCGCCATAGAAAATCCACATCTGAGCCTCACAGATACTGGAGTTATGATAGAACTGAAGTTTGAGGAGAGACCAAACCTAAAACTCCTCCTCCTCAATTCCAGCTTCCTATAAACACCAGTCCTTCACTCCTCGTTAACATGAGGGAATTTCGCTCCACGTCCTCCTCCTCCTCCACGTTTTCCTGCAAATGATCTTTAATATACAGGGGGGTCGGCCTTCTAGTGACCCACAGAAGCTGTACTGAACTCCAGCCCAAAGTTCCTCAGAGTTCCCCTCCTCTCCTCATCATTTACCAAGGCGTGGTCTGCATTCGCAAATTACTGATAGAACTGTAACATCCTGCCCTGTTTAGTGTTAAAATAGAGATGTTTAACATACAGGAATGGAACCAATCAGGTCTCTGATGCTGGGCCAGAAATACGTTCTGCGTTCTACGTTCCAAGATCAAATGCAGTGCTTTGCTTTTCTTTAATCTCTCAGTTATTATCAGCAGCTTGTGCTGCAGGAACCATATGAGTGTCTATAAGGGTCAGATGTGAAAACGGGGGGATTTTGTGGACAGAACAGCACCGACGAGCTGCTAGAAGAAGAGAAAAACATGCTCTGATGTTGAACTGCCTCATTTACTGCACACATCACAGAAACACATCACACTCCTTCACACACACTTTGACCTGGAGTGTTTAGAGTGAGGTCACCTAAACCAGCTCATCAGAAGAAAGTGGGGAAAGACCATGAGCTGTATGTGGTTTTTAGGTGGTGATGGGATAAAAAGCTCTTTGTACAGTGAGGACTGTCCCATTATTAATGTCCACAAGCTGGAAATCCATGTCAGATGAATGATTGTAAGAGTGCTGTGTCGTGGTGGTCAGTTATCATGCTGACCCCTCTCTTTATTTCAGGCAGGTGGAGTTTATTTCACACACAAATATAAACACTTTCACTGTGCAGCACCTTCATCACCAGCTTCTGAACAATGTACAGAAACAGTTTGGAGCCACTGACTCATAGAAGGGTCTTCATCTTTTAGACCATCTTACATATTAGAATAACAGTGAAGACGTCAAAAGTATGAAATATCACACATGGAATCACACAGAGACCAAAACAGTGTTAAACTAATCAAACTATCTTCTCCTTTAGATCTTTTAGAAAGTAGCCCCCCTTTACCTTGATGCAGTTTAACCCACTCTGGATCATTCTCTCCAGCAGCTTCATGAGGAGCCGCCTGAGACGCTTTTCCAACAGGACTGAAGAGACTCACAAGCTGAGACCTTGTTGTTGCCGAAAACCAATTGTTGGTACATATTTAGTCACTTAAACTCAGTGTTTATATTTGTCTTCAAACAAACTGAATTTGAATTGGAACATGAGATAAAAATGTGTTTAAAATGATAAAAAATGAATATGCAGTTCGGTGTGTCCAAACTTTTGACTGATAGTCTACATGAATTGTACAACTTTGTTTTTTGGACTGAACTGTATTTGTGATGAGTCGGCAATTTTCTCCAGGATTATTAAAGATTCTATCTGTCTAAAAAAATAACACAGTTCATTAAACAAACAGTGTAAATAATATTTCGAGTGTATCTATAAAGTAACAATCATATTTAATAGATAAATCATTATTTATCACATAATCTCACAGATGATCCATCACCATAAACACAGAACCCAGCGTAGAGCGGCTGAGTGAATGTGGTGTGGACTGTGTGTAGGAGGGTCATTGTGTCAGAGACGCTGTAGAAGGACAGAGTTCCTGCACTGTGATCCACATACACTCCTATTCTGGAGGATGATGGTCCTGAGATCTTAGTCTCAATGTTGTTGTGCCGGAAAGTGAGAGAGGAAGAACACTGCAGACTCCAGGACTGACTGTTGTGTCCAAACCCACAATCAATACCCCAACCTTTCCTTCTGATCCCTTTATATGAGACTGATATGTACACGGTTCCCCGACGGCTCCACTCAACCTCCCAGTAACAGCGTCCACTCACACTCTCCTTACACAACACCTGTTCCCAGCGTTCAAATCTCTCTGGATGGTCAGAGTATGACTGGGCTTTATCATTCAATGTCACCACTCTGTTCTTCTCAGACAGAATGAGGCGACGATGTGCTGTGTTGGGATCCAGAGTCAGCTGACAGAAATCTAAAAAAGAAAGAAAATGAGATTTTATTTAAATTATTTATTTGATAAAAATACAGTGTCAGTGTTTACATCTTTAAACATTTCCATGTAAATAATTTAGACTCATAATTGAGTAATAATAATAATGAGTAATGAGAAATAATTAGACTCCTGAATAAAGTTCACCAAAAACAACAGATCAATCAAATTTAAACACGAAGAAACACAAACAATATCTGTGTGTGTGTGTGTGTGTGTGTGTGTGTGTGTGTGTGTGTGTGTGTGTGTTTGTTACTCATACACTGCAGAAAATCTTGTCTGGTTTTTGGTTCTGAGGATAAAATCTGAACTGCTGCAGCTGTGGAGACACACACACACCACAGACCAACACAGTCAATAGAATAGAATAGAATAGAATGAGACTTCATGCAATTAAAACTAAAAAATGATCATATTAAAAGTGGAATCTACTTATTTTGTCTTTCTCTGCTGTGTTAAGATTTCCATCCTCATGCTCCACAGCAGGACAGCTCCTCTTACCATGTGGAGGGATTTTACTGAACTCCTCTCTGCAGAACTCCTCTAGTCGCTCCTTCAGCTCAGAGAGAGATCTCCTCACTCCATCAAATGAGAGGTGTTGATGGACAGTGATGCTGGGTGAGTCCTCAGATCCAGAAGAGACACAGAGAGACTGGAAACTCTACAGAGAGAACAAACACAGTGGAGAAAGATAAAGGAGTACAAGAGAAATGAAGGAGCTCCAATCAGACTAAAGACAGACTTGTGATCACAGACAGGTAGATTTACTGCTGCCTTAAATGTAGTTATAACTGAAGTTTGAGGGGAGGAGCATGACTGAAACCCCTCCTTCTTTCAATCCAACACCCTATAAATTCAAATCCTCACCTCACGAAGTGTTCGCAATCCCCACCGCCACCCCATCTCCTCCCAGTTCCTCAGCCTCGCATCAGTCCTGCTACAGCTATGAGGGGGGATCTGGCCTTCTAGCTACAGGCAGAAGGTGCCCAGAACTCCAGCCCAAGTTCTCAGAGTTCTGCCCCCTCCCTCAATTTTCCCTCATACTACCACCACATGTTGAAGGCACGGTCCGAACTCACAAATGAACTTTTGCTGAGAGGAGTTTTAGAAGCTGGATGAGGAGCAGGTTCCTCTGTAGATCAGTGATTGTTACCTGGAGGAAATGGATGTGATCCTCTGTGTGTGAAAGCTGCTCCAGCTCAGTGTGTCTCCTCTTTAGATCAGCGATCTCCTGCTCCAGTTTCTCCAGGAGTTCTTCAGCTCCACTCAGTTCAGCCTCCTCCTGAGCTCTGATCAGCTCTGTTACCTCAGAGTGCTTTTTCTCAATGGAGCGGATCAGTTCAGTAAAGATCCTCTCACTGTCCTCCACTGCTGACTGAGCACAGCGCTGTTAGGACAAGAACACACCAGATGGAGGAACATTTCACCTCTTAAACTGAGCTGCATTATTCAGTCATTCATCTCAACGTTTATCATTTAATAACTATATGAAACTAAAGTGAATCTACAGCCACATTCAGGATCTTAAAGGGTTAAAAGAACAGTTAAAAAATCAAATATGCTCAGTTTTCCCCAAATTACCTTCAATGTAGTTTAAATGTAATGGAAGATTATCTCTATTATCATGACGTAAACTGAATGTCTATATTCTCACAGTTAACAAACCACACTGAGTGACACTGTAAATAACATCTATAATATAAAGAAAAGTACAGATAAATTCAGGCTTTATGACGGCTTCTTCTTTTAGCTGTTACAGATATCAGTGTGTCATACATGCTAAAAACCACATACACCTAATTACCAACTGCATTGCATGCCTGAACAAATCGGCTACCTATAACCTTGTACTGCGATTCATAAGTCATATTCCCATATATATATATATATATATATATATATATATATATATATATATATATATATATATATATATATATATATATATATATATATATATATACCCCCTTGTTGTTTTCTCTTAGGATCTACATGTACATTATATTTGTGTATGTATACTATATTACTATATATACACTATATAAAGTATTCACTCACCCATCCAAATAATTTAATTCAAGTGTTCCAATCACTTCCATGGACACAGGTGTATAAAACCAAGCACCTCGGTCCAGTCGTGAAATTTCCTCACTACTAAATATTCCACAGTCAACTGTCAGTGGTATTATAACAAAGTGGAAGCGAAAGTGGCAACTCAGCAACTCAGCCACAAAGTGGTCGGCCATGTAAAATGACAGAGTGGGGTCAGCGGATGCTGAGGTGCATAGTGCGCAGAGGTCACCAACTTTCTGTAGAGTCAATCGCTACAGACCTCCAAACTTCATGTGGCCTTCAGATTAGCTCAAGAACAGCGTAGAGAGCTTCATGGAATGGGTTTCCATGGCTGAGCAGCTGCATCCAAGCCTTACATCACCAAGCAAAGCGTCGAATGCAGTAGTGTAAAGCGCCACCACTGGACTCTAGAGCATTGGAGACGTGTTCACTGGAGTGACAAATCACGCTTCTCTGTCTGGCGATCCGATGGACGAGTCTGGGTTTGGAGGTTGCCAGGAGAACGGTACTTGTCTGACTGTATTTTGCCAAGTGTAAAGTTTGGTGGAGGGGGAATTATGGTGTGGGGTTGTTTTTCAGGAGTTGGGCTCGGCCCCTTAGTTCCAGTGAAAGGAACCACACCTCCAACATCAATGTCTGACCTCACAAATGCGCTTCTGGAAGAATGGTCAAAAATTCCCATAAACACACTCCTAAACCTTGTGGAAAGCCTTCCCAGAGGAGTTGAAGCTGTTATAGCTGCAAAGGGTGGGCCAACATCATATTAAACCCTATGGATCGAAAATGGGATCTCATTCAAGTTCATATGCGTGTGAAGGCAGACGAGCGAATACTTTTGGAAATATAGTGTGGATGATATCACAGATGATCTCTCTGGAATCCAGTTGATCGAAATCCATCGTAGCGACTGAGAACTTTGATCACTGAGACCTACTTGCTGTGTCTTTGATTCAGTTTCTAAGTGTAAAACTCATTGATATCGATACAGATATGAAGTTAAATGAGTTCAGGTTAGTAATACTACAGAGTTAAACCCTAAAAATATACAGTGAAAACAGAACATATAACTGTACAAAATATAGGTCACCTCAGTCAGACCTTCTACCGGAGACCCCTCCCAAGACCTTTGCCACAGTTCAAACTCTGTTGAACTCCAAAGATGTTTTGGCAAATCAATTACATTTGAGGTAAATCCAACCTTTCACCAAACAGTTCCTTTAAAACTGAACCATCATTTCCTCTCTTACTGTGATTCTAGATGACTTACTGTCCACACTGTGGAGGAGAGACTGACTGAGCTCTGAAACACCAAATCTCTGCTCAGTTCTCACCTTAAGAGTCTTCACAGCCTGTTTCAGCTCCTGCTGCTTCTTCTGCTTCTCCTGGATTCTCTGCTGGAATTTACTCTGAATCTCCTTCAGCTGATTCTATGAACAAATACATTTTGTGATGTTTATGAGTTTTTTGTGAATTAAGACCTAAAAACATGTTCTTGTTCTGTACAGTTTGCTCTCTGTCATGTGATCACTGTAAGAATGAAAGACGGGTGTTGGCTGGTCACATGATCACTGACTGGTCTGACCTGTTTACTGAAAACTACCTTACACACAGTTTCTCTGAAAACTCACTGCTTGAATTCAAGAACTGAAAGATCAGTTTAAACTGTTTACCTGATGAATGCAGCTCATTCTAGACTACAAACCCAATTAGCCTGAACTGAACCCAAATGATTTCTAGTCCTCACCTGTTTCTTGGTTCTCTCTGTTACAGCTGGGACTGTATCGTGACCTTTGTGTTCCTCCATTGTACACAAATAGCAGATGCAGCTTTGGTCAGTACGACAGTAGATCTTGATCACTTCATCGTGCTGAGAGCAGATCTTCTCCTGTAGCTGTGAGGAGGCTTTGACCAGCTTGTGTTTTCTCCAAGTAGGAACTTCATAGTGAGGTTTAAGATGAGTTTCACAAAAGGAGGCCAGACACGTCAGACAGGACTTGATGGCTTTGAGTTTTGTCCCAGTGCAGAAATCACACTCCACATCTCCAGGTCCAGCGTAACGGGGAGCAGGAGGAGCAGCTCGGAGTTCTGTCTTCTTCAGTTTCTCCACCACTTCAGCCATTACGTTGTTTCTGCGTAGAACAGGCCTTGGAGTGAAAGTCTCTCTGCACTGGGGGCAGCTGTAGACCCCCCTCTGATCCTCCTGATCCCAGCAGCCATTAATACACACCATACAGAAACTGTGTCCACAAGGAAGAGACACTGGATCCTTCAGAAGATCCAGACAGACTGGACAGCTGAACTGGTCGTGATCTACTGAGATACTGGCCATTTTCCTGCCCTTCTAGTCTGAGAGAGAGCAGCTCTCTGAGATCAGTTTCGTTTTCTCTGAACTGAGTAGGAGGGACTTCCTGGTTTTCTGCTGGTTAGTGTGTCACAGAGAGGAGGTGGAGAAAGAGAGGAGGAAAATGAGAGACTACGGTTTTTTTCCTGTACAGTTGCTGGAATTTCAAGGAATAAAAAGTTGTGCAGCTCAGAAATGAAAGTAACAGAGGAAACTGACTCCAGCTTGTAAGAGAGCTGCAGTCTCTGTGAGGATCTTCACTTCTCTGCTTCATTACTGCAGCTGAGAAATGAAAACAGCACCATCTCAGTCCTTCTGCTGTGAACTCCACTGACCTCAGAACTGACCCAGACCGTCCATTCAAAGCAGTAATAAAATCTACAGCAGTTCTCTTATATATTTTCAGAAAAAGCTCATCACTGATAACAGATCAAAGTATTCATGAAGTAAAACCTTCATAGAAAAGGAAACTATTTGCATCTTTTAACTCTAGTTAACCTGTAAAAGTCCACAGAACTGTCTGCGGTTCAGAACTTGCTGTCGTCACATTCTTTACTTCATAACTTCAATATTTTATAAGTTAAATGAAAGACGGAGGAGTCATATTAAAGCTGCAACTCTCCTTCCTACTCAAGTAATGATAGCTAAGCTAACAAAGGCTTTTATGACAGCATAATCCAGACTTTATTTAAGTCCAAATGTAAATTTGACAATGTTAATCCAAATTATATATTTCTAATTGCATTTTTAATGTGTGCTTTACTAAAGACATGATTCAAATGAAAAATGTGTATCTGCATTTTCATTTCTGTGCTTACTGGCAGTTCAAATTAACATGGAAAAGTAAAGCGCTTTAGCCATTTTAAATTTTATTGTCCTAATTGTCTGACTTGGACATTGAAAAAGGAAAAACAAATGCCCCACCACAGACGAAGGAAATTTCTTATTCAAATTTTCCACCTTAAATGGTGGGTGAGCCCTGGTCCTGGAGGAACACATGAACTCTGACTGTTTATAATGGGTGTGTTAAAGCAGTGAAAGCACTAAAATGTGCAGGGCAGTGTTTCACTGACAGTCGTGTGAGCCTCTGGTCACAGTGTCACTAACAATATCACTTCCACACAAAAACCACTTTGGACAGAATTGTCCTCGGCCTGGTTAGCGAGTGCTAGGGAGTCAAAGTCATACCACCATTAAATCAGTCTATATGCAGATGATGTTTTACTGTATATTACTAACCCTTCACTGTCCCTTCCATCCGTTCATGATCTGATAAATAAGTATAGCAGGGTGTCTGGCTATTCCGTTAACTGGTCCAAATCTGAGTTTCTGCCTCTAAGTAAATTCAACTGGGATGACGAGGTCTATGATATACCATCTGAACATATCGCACAGTCTATTACTCTATTCCTCTTGGTATTCATATCTCTTCTAATATAAATGATTTGTATAAACCTAACTACATACCTTTAATGCAAGAAATAAAGGATAATCTAGAAAGGTGGAATAAATTACCATTAACTCTAATTGGCCGAATATCAGCAGTTAAAATGAATGTCCTCCCTAAAATCAATTCTGTTTTCTATGACCCCTGTTACCCCACCGTCAGGCTGGTTCTCCTCTCTTGACAATGCAGTTACTAAGTTCTATTGGAAGCACCAAAAGCCTCGAATCAAGTTAGCTACCCTCCAGAAACCTAAACATTTTGGAGGACTTGGAGCCCCAAATTTCTACTACTACTTTCTATCACATCAACTGCTTTACATTAGACATTGGACAAGTAGCTCAAACCAACCCTGGCAAGACATTGAGGAAAGTTTAATTGAAGAACTGGAAATTAATAGTATTCCATTCATAGACAAAGCTATAATATTTATATATATATATATATATATATATATATATACACACACAGTATAATAAGTACCACCCTGAATGCATGGTGAAATTCAAACAAAATTCTTAACTACAGCTACTCTCCCTCCAGTCAAACTCCTCTGTGGGACAACCCCATGTTTTTAATAAATAACAAACCTTTTATATTCTCAGCCTGGAAACAGAGAAGAATAACCAGTCTGGCACCGTTGTTCTCTGATGGCTTGCTCATGACCTTTGATGACATCAAAGAAAAATACAATATACCAGATAATTGTCACTATCAGTATATACAACTCAAAGATGGACTAAATTGTTAAGTTAATAGTGGAAATCTCTGCAATCACACTCCTCCCCTCTACTTAAAACTACACTCCCTTAAACCTCAGAAAATATTATCCCAAATATATAAACTTATAGCCTCAAAGGACAACACTGTCTCACTCCCAACTGAAAAATGGACCTCAGGTATAAAAGAAACATGTAATGTCAGCTGGCAAAATATATGCAGTGATATCTTCTCTATGTCCAGCAATTCAAAACTCCAGCTAATTCAATATAAAACCCTTCACAGAACATTTATCACAGCCTCTAAACTACACCGTATGGGATTTAGTCACAGTGATAAATGCCAACATTGTCCAGCTTTAACAGACAACTACTATCATGCTTTCTGGAATTGTCCCCCGACCCAGCAGTTTTGGTCAGAGGTCATGGACAGGCTGTCAGAGATTTTGGGCCTTGTCATCCCTTTATGTCCGATTGTAGCGCTACTTAATGACCTTTCCTCACTTTCAGCACCCAATCACCTCAAATGCTTTATATTCATATCACTTACCATTGCCAAAAAAGTTATACTGCTGAACTGGAAGGACAGAACCAAAATTTCGATAAAGCATTGGCTTAACCTCATCATGGATCACCAACTTGGAAAGACTCACAGCAAATTTTAAAAATAACACAATCATTCAAGGAAACCTGGTCACAATCTAAAACCCTACATAGGATTTGATAACTACCCACATTATAATTGCAATAAAAAAAAGAGTGGGGGGGTGGGGGTGGGGGGCATTACTGCCTTGTTTATTGTTTTGTTAAGTGTTTTGTCTGTCCTGTATGTCCAGTTTGTCATTATTATTATTATTATTATTATTATTATTATTATTATTTCATCCTTTCTCTTTACTTCTTCTGTTTTGTCTCTGATATTTCTGTTCTTTGTTTCACTCAAAGTTGGGGGTGGGTGAGCGGGGGGGAGGGGGGTTGTTTGGAGGGGTGTTGGGTGGTTGTGGAGCCACATCACCTTATATCTATATGATTATTAATAAACGATGAGTTGTGTCATTAATAGCGAAGTGAAAAAAAAAATGTCCCCTGGAAAAGGGGTGGTGGTGGTGTGGCCAAGGAATGTTGAAAAAAAAAAACAAAACATGGTGTCAATGTATAGCCATGGCCCTCTTACCTGCTTGAAACCCCAAGAGGTACAAACAATCTCCTGTAAAACAAAGTTAAAAGTGTGCAGATAAAATACCAACTAAAGTCCTTCACCTTACATAAAAGACAAGGTCTGGCTAACTAAGTTAAAAGAAGCACAGATAAAACACCTAAAACAAAGCAGACGCTCAACACCAGAGATTAAACACACAAACTACAACAGCTCACATGGTCAGGCCTCGCTCTCTTCAGCCTCTTTTAAAACATAGGCTCGTCCCCCAACTGCACCACCCAAGCCTGTGATTGGTTCTCCTCACATGACTGTTTGCAGAGCAGGTACCTCTGTGGAGGAAGAGAAGGAGAGAGAGAGAGAGAGAGAGAGAGAGAGAGAGAAATGAACACAAAAAAATACAAAATACATGCTGACACACATCACAAACATACATTTTGCATCATTATCTTTGATAATGAACACTCACATTTCAAATGCAGTTGTAAATTCATTTTGAATTAGCTTTTTTTTAATTTGCTTTTGAATTTGAATAAAGTCTGGAATATGCTGTCATAGGCTTTGCGTTATATAAGCCATGTGTTTAACTATAGCTCAAAAAAAAAATTAGTCTGAGATTTTTCCTTTTTTCCGTATTTTAAAAAATGTTTAGACTTTGTCTCACCTGCATTTCATCAGAGCACAGAACGTGTCTAGAAATCTGCTGTCACGCATCCCTCCGGCTCTGAGACCTTCATGGACTACGTCTCCCAGAATCCTCTGGGAGATCATGTGACTCCTGACCCTCCACTGCGCTCCAATCTCCGTTCAGCCTCTCCTGAATGCTAATCAGCTACACCTGTTTCTGTCTTTGTCCAGTCAGAGTCAGTATAAAGCCGGCTTTCAGTTCAGCTCTCTGTGAGGTGTTGAATCTTTCCTGCTGAGTTTTCTTTGGTGGTGTTGTTTCTGGATCTGACTGCTTTTCTGTGTTTTTGGCCTCTTTGCCCTCTGGACTCTGTCTGCCTCTGGTTCTGTTTGTTTGTTTGTACTTTGTCTATTTTGGATTTGACCCACTTCTGTTATTGGACTGTGGTTTTGGATTACGACTCAACCAGTAAAGGCTTTTCCCCTTTTTTCATCCGCGAGCGTCTGAATCATTCTGGCGCGTTACATCAGCTCAGACAGCTAAACCTGCTCGCGTTTTAGCAGAGAGGTAGAGTGAAGCGGCTCGGTTGGCTGTGATGAAAATGCAGCATGGATTTAAATATATTTGTAGCCAGCAGCTACGATCATTAGCACTGACCACACTCAGCCTGGAGCTCTTCTCTTTCCTCTCCAGAGTCTTTTCACAAAACTCTCCAAACTCAGCGTTTAACACCAATAAAGATCATTGTTAACATGTTCAAACACATTTTAACCCAAAAGCACATAATATTTACCTCAGTTTCAAGGCTTATAAACTCAGTATAGAACGGCTAACCGTTAGCATAAGAGAACAGCGATTTCCCATTAAACCGTTAGCATTATGGCTAACTATGGAGTTAGCATTAACCACAGCTCATTCACTCAGCAGAACAGGAGAGTCTGAGCTTCAGTATCACCTCAGGCGACACCAGGTCATCAGCTAAACCACACATTCTTCTAAATGTTCATACTTTACATGGAAAACTTGGTTCACATCAGTGAGACGGTGACATTAAAAGATGTAGATTTAAACTATATTGTCTGTTCTGTTCATGTATGTTTATTTTTTATTCTTTTCAATTATTTTTAAGTATTTTTGCATTTTTCTATTTTTCAATAATATCAGTAAAGAGACTCACATATTATATAATTATTTTCTTACTGAAGGTTTATTTACTGTTTTAATCTGATCTTTTATGATCACATTTGAGATCTTTTAGCAGTGCCAGTCGCAGTATAAGCATTTAGACTCTCTACTGAATAAATAAATACGTTAATAGATAAATAAGTAACCAGATAAATAACACTAGTTATAGTTTGGGTGCTTCTTTCTGTGTTTCTTTACTGTCATTAATGTTAATATAATACAGTAACACAGAAAACCTTATACACACATTCACACTGACACGCACAACATGCTGAGTAGCTGAATGTAAAGCTGGTCTTAGGTGGTCAAACACATCTGAACATGACGATGTTAACACATATTCATACTGGTTTGCAGCTTTGGGGGTCTCGCTGTGTGTGTTCTGTGAAGCTAAGCGGTTCTAAGTGTGAGTTTCTGGGTGTGTTTCTCCTGCAGCTCTACAGTGGATCTGAGCAGATTCTCATCTGTGCAGTTTCCTCTGCAGCGGTGAGACCCTCTCTGACCCCTGACCTGCAGGACTGTGCAAAAGCCACACAGACCACCTTTCACTTCAATTCCAGTCAAAACAGTCATTAAGTGTCAGTTAAAAGTTAAACAGAGGCCTCAACAACTAAACATTCTATCATATTTTCAGCATTTCAGGATTTGGTGTGTCTCTCTTTACCTTTATTACAGCTTCCATTCTTATCAAGAGACTCTTTTTCAGTTTCTCAAAGAAATCTGTAAGAATGTTTATCCACAGCTCCAAAGTTCAGTCTTAGGAGTTGGCTGCACGTTCAGCCTCTCACGATCCAAATCATCTCAAACCCATTCAGTGGTGTCGAGGTCTGGACTCTGGGGTGGTCAGTCCATTGTTCAGCTTCTTTGTTTGATGTGTCCGTCTCCTTTTCTCAGTGAGGTTGTTCTTGAACAGCTACACATCCTTTCAGACCCACAGCACTGAGTCGTCTTCTCACAGTGGAAGGATGGACAGAAGCACCTGTGGATGTTTTCAGATCTGAAGCAGCTTGATTTTCTCCTGTCTCTCAAAGATGAAAGCTTTAAGTGCTGTTTATCTGATGGGGCAGTTTTGGGGGTCTACCAGGTCTTCCAGGTGGTTGTTAGGAGCCCCATTTTCTCTGTAGCTTGAACTGTTTTGTTGGAAACTCCTGTTTTTCCCCTCATCTTTATGTTTAAGTGGATCATCTCAAAACAAAATATCTCCTGAAACATTAATAACTTGTATGTTTTGGCCGTGTTGACTGGAAATGAAATACACAAAGGGTGGTCTCTGACTTTTGCTCAGTACTGTCCATTCTGGAGTCCCTTCTCTCTCCTCTGTGCTGCACACTGAGGACGTCTCCCTGAACCCTGACCTTCATGCTGGAGCCCCGCTCTTTTGAGCTCTCCTCTCCAACACCTGTCACTGATCCAATGTTCAGTAGAGGTGTGAGGACAAATGGAGATGCTGTCAGATGAACTGGACACTGTGGAGGAGATTCAGACACATTTTCCGTTTTGTTTCCTACGTTTGATTTTCATACACTGTGTAAAAAAAACCTAATAAATGATTTTTAAAGCTGAAAAAATGATGAACGGTTTGTCACAAACTGATTTTCTATACCCGACACAGCTGCCACTGCTAATTCAGACTGAAATCTGAAAGGTACACAGGATATGAGCCGTGCTGCTCTTCCTGCTCTTCCACTCTTAATGAGAACATCTGCAGTGAACATTCTCGCTCACAGACAGCGGCTCTCCAGTTGCTGCAGTTGGTCTCATCTTAAATCCTGCATTTTGAACCACAGGCTGCATTATTTACCTGTATTTCCCAAGAAATGGCATCAATGTAGTGTAACCTGGTTCTCTTGGTGGGTCCCTTAGACTGAGGCCCAGCGCTGTTTGGTGGTTTATCTGCTGTATCACTCCAACCAAACCTGCTAACTAACTGATGAGGTGAATCAGGTGAGCTTGAGCAGGAAAATCACCAAACTGTGCTGGAATCTGGGCCTCCTGGACTGGAGTTCCCACCCCTGCAACAAACAGAGACGACCAACACAATAAAGCTTGAAGAAATCAGTGAAATATTAATTGCACTGTGTCGTCCCTCACTAGTGTACATATCCAACTACATCCTGCTGTAGAGGGCAGTGTGGCTCTACTTCAGTGCTTAATGATGCATTAATACAGTTTATTACTGTTACGCTGCCAGATAAGATCACCTAACTACAGGCTACTGAATTAGCATGTGTGCTAACAGGTGCAGAGCATTAATAACATCTTGTTTTCATTCTTTCAAGAGCCTTAATTAAGATTCTCACATATAATTCTAGATTTATTTTGGATTAAATTACTTTTTTATACATAAGTGTGTTTTTACAGCTAATCTGTTATGCTGTGGGTAAATTATTAGCATTGAATAGTCCTAGAAATATCAACCAAAAATAACTATTTAATAATTCATTAATATAATGATAGAAAGCGTCTGGCTGTTGTTTGGTACCGAATAAGATTTTATATGATATGAAACCAAAAACTATTCAAGCTAAACTGACTGTGTAGGTTTTCTGATCCTGATGAGCTTCAGTGTGCTGTAAACATCTCCACCACTAGAGGGAGCCGTCAAACCACTAACCAACATATATGAGACTTTTCCAGTGAAGGTCTGTCTGCAGAGCCGCAGTGCTGCACTCTCAGACCTGGATATGATGTCACACAGAGGTCGTAGGTTCTAGATATGCTTTCTGAGACAATATGGTTTCACAAAAAGCGCATTAGTGACAAAGTAAGACTGAGCTTAGGTTCATTAGATCATACAAATTCAGTGTTTCTCTAAAGGTTTGACTCCTTTTTGGACTTTTATAGAGCTTTTGACCCTGTTGAGAAAAAGTCTCTCCAACAATTATTATTATTTTTATTATTTTGTATTTATTATTATTTATAGGCTGGTTAATTTACATTATTGGTAGGTTTTGTGTGGGAATCAATACTTCTGTAATTGTTAATTGTAGTACTTTTCACTGATTTGTCATAAATTGAGGAGTCAGACAAGGTCGACCATTTTCACCCTTATTATTCATTTCAGTTACTGTCATTAATTTTAATACATGAAAATCGTCTGGAAGGATTTTTAGTTTTTGATCAGTAAATTAAAATCTCACAGTGATCAGTCGACTGTACTTTGTTTCTGAAAGGTCAGTTGTGGAACACGAGAAAAGCAGCTGAGCGGTTTTCTTACACTTTAGGTTTGAAACTGAATGAGACAAAATGGGAAATAACGTCTCTTTATGCACTAAAACTCTGATTCATGACACTCAAGTTAAAGACACAGTGAAGAACCTCAGCATTCATAGAACCACAAACACTCCAGCCAGACAGCGTTTGAACATCTGGCAGAACAAAAACCTTCATACGTTTTTCAGCTCAATCTTCAGAGAGATGTATCCTGATATGGTGGAGCTCTTTCAGTTCAGGCTCAGGGACTTTCTCGTGTTGTTCATCCTTCCCTTTCTGACTTTCTTAAAGATTAAACTGATCATGAGATCAATAAAATCATTTTAGACTTCATTTGGAAAAATCAGTCACACAAACTCGTCATTAGTTCCCAAAAAAGCTCCCAGTTTCTCTGAGTTTCATCATCAGGCTCTCCCTGCCTGGGAATTATGCCTTGTCCACAGTTTCTGACCACATAGGTCACTCTTATGGAATAATCCTGATGTACCTATAAGGAATAAATCTTCTGAAATGGATTCAAAACAATATTAACAGTTTCTTTCTGTATCTGATGAATCTGGCAGTGTGTTTTCTTATGAGTGTGTTCTGTCTGTGCATGACTTCCTTTCCCCTTTATAGAACAGAACTCTTTGATTAGAGTGATTCCTGATGGTCTTACTTCCCTTGTTGAAGGTCAGTTAGTGGTGTGATGCAGTAATAATAAGCATTTCAGCAGATTCTTAAAAGATTACCCATAATTCCTCCTACAGGTTTGTTCTACTGGATGTTTTTCATTGGGGGTGTAAATTGGAGAAGGACTTGGCTTTTACCTCCAAAATATTGTCCAATACATCCAACAAGGCCAAAGAAATCCATCTAAGATCCACCATGAGAATCTGAGTCTGTGGACATCGACAGCTCTTCAGCCCCTTTTGTGGATCTGCTGATCTGCTTCATTCATTCACTTTTCAGTGTGAAGTAAATAATAGATTCTGGTCTCATTTACTGGGCTCACATTTTTAACCCTGTCAAACTTCTTTACTGAACTCAAAGACTTCATCTGATATTATAATAATCATATTAAACCTGTCGCCATAGAAAATCCACATCTGAGCCTCACAGATACTGGAGTTATGACAGAACTGAAGTTTGAGGAGAGACCAAACCTAAAACTCCTCCTCCTCAATTCCAGCTTCCTGTAAACACCAGTCCTTCACTCCTCGTTAACATGAGGGAATTTCGCTCCACCTTCTCCACCTCCTCCTCCTCCTTCTCCTCCACTGTGTTCTGCACATGATCTTTAATATACGGGGGGGGGTCGGTCTTCTAGTGACCCACAGAAGCCGTACTGAACTCCAGCCCAAAGTTCCTCAGAGTTGTTTAGTGTTAAAATAGAGATGCTTAACATACAGGAATGGAACCAATCAAGTCTCTGATGCTGGGCCAGAAATACGTTCTGCGTTCTACGTTCCAAGATCAAATGCAGTGCTTTGCTTTTCTTTTATCTCAGTTATTATCAGCAGCTCGTGCTGCAGGAACCATATGAGCGTCTATAAGGGTCAGATGTGAAAACGGGGGGATTTTGTGGACAGAACAGCACCGATGAGCTGCTAGAAGAAGAGAAAAACATGCTCTGATGTTGAACTGCCTCATTTACTGCACACATCACAGAAACACATCACACTCCTTCACACACACTTTGACCTGGAGTGTTTAGAGTGAGGTCACCTAAACCAGCTCATCAGAAGAAAGTGGGGAAAGACCATGAGCTGTATGTGGCTTTTAGGTTGGGATGGGATAAAAAGCTCTTTGTACAGTGAGGACTGTCCCATTATTAATGTCCACAAGCTGGAAATCCATGTCAGATGAATGATTGTAAGAGTGCTGTGTCGTGGTGGTCAGTTATCATGCTGACCCCTCTCTTTATTTCAGGCAGGTGGAGTTTATTTCACACACAAATATAAACACTTTCACTGTGCAACACCTTCATCACCAGCTTCTGAACAATGTACAGAAACAGTTTGGACCCACCGACTCATAGAAGGGTCTTCATCTTTTAGACCATCTTACATATTAGAATAACAGTGAAGACGTCAAAAGTATGAAATATCACACATGGAATCACACAGAGACCAAAACAGTGTTAAACTAATCAAACTATCTTCTCCTTTAGATCTTTTAGAAAGTAGCCCCCCTTTACCTTGATGCAGTTTAACCCACTCTGGATCTTTCTCTCCAGCAGCTTCATGAGGAGCCGCCTGAGACGCTTTTCCAACAGGACTGAAGAGACTCACAAGCTGAGACCTTGTTGTTGCTGAAAACCACTTGTTGGTACATATTCAGTCACTTAAACTCACTGTTTATATTTGTCTTCAAACAAACTGAATTTGAATTGGAACATGAGATAAAAATGTGTTTAAAATGATAAAAAATGAATATGCAGTTCGGTGTGTCCAAACTTTTGACTGGTAGTCTACATGAATTGTACAGCTTTGTTTTTTGGACAGAACTGTATTTGTGATGAGTCGGCAATTTTCTCCAGGATTATTAAAGATTCTATCTGTCTAAAAAAATAACACAGTTCATTAAACAAACAGTGTAAATAATATTTTGAGTGTATCTATAAAGTAACAATCATATTTAATAGATAAATCATTATTTATCACATAATCTCACAGATGATCCATCACCATAAACTCCAAACCCAGCGTAGAGCGGCTGAGTGAATGTGGTGTGGACTGTGTGTAGGAGGGTCATTGTGTCAGAGACGCTGTAGAAGGACAGAGTTCCTGCACTGTGATCCACATACACTCCTATTCTGGAGGATGATGGTCCTGAGATCTCAGTCTGAATGTTGTTGTGCAGGAAAATGAGAGAGGAAGAACAATGCAGACTCCAGGACTGACTGTTGTTTCCAAACCCACAATCATCACCCCAACCTTTCCTGCTGATCCCTTTATATGAGACTGATATGTACACAGTTCCTCTCTCACGGCTCCACTCAACCTCCCAGTAACAGCGTCCACTCACACTCTCCTCACACAACACCTGATACCAGCAGTCAAATCTCTCTGGATGGTCAGAGTATGACTGGGCTTTATCACTGTACGTCACCACTCTGTTCTTCTCAGACAGAATGAGGAGACGATACGCTGTGTTGGGATCCAGAGTCAGCTGACAGAAATCTAAAAAAGAGAAAATTAGATTTTATTTAAATGATTTATTTGATAAAAATTCAGTGTCAGTGTTTTTCATCTTTAATCATTTCCATGTAAATAATTTAGACTCTAACTGAGTAATAATAATAATGAGTAATGGGAAATAATTAGACTCCTGAATAAAGTTCACCAAGAACAACAGATCAATCAAATTAATCACGACAGAAACACAAACAATATCTGTGTGTGAGTGTGTGTGTGTTTGTCTTACTATACTTGTGAGGACCAGTGCAAGTTTTTAACCTTTCGAGTGAGGTCATTTTCAGGAAGTGAGGTCATTTTGCTGGTCCTCACTTTTTTTTCATTGTAATCATCTCCTTTTATCCTGATGGTCCTGGTGAATTTTACACCAGTGCTCAGTGGCGCCCCCTTTAATCCCTGCACGAGCACAGCACTCAAATGACCTGAGCGGATTATTAAACAGCTCCATATTTACTATTAAACACATCCTGGCAGCCGAAAGTTCGCCGGACTGAGCTGAAACACCCTTTAACTTCCACACAGAGCCTCAGAAACTCAGCCCATCACAGCTCTTAGCCTCCCTGCTCATCTGAGCGCTTTAGCGATGAGCACAGCAGCGATCTGAGCCGCCATGACCGACAGAGCCTGTAGAGCAGAAGGAGCCCGCCTACAAGGCCGTCTGACCAATAGTGGCTGAGCGACAGAGGCTCCAGCCAATCAGGTTCTAGACGGCTCCGTACGGACGAGTAAGGAGTCCGCTCTGCTGCCCGAGCGCCGCCCCCAAAAAGAACCACCGTTTCTGACTGGCTGAAACCTCCGTCAGTTAAAACACCGAGCTTTGCCCGCGATGGACTGAGATTCACCCACCAATCAACAGAAGTACAGCATCAGTGCAGCAACAGTGACGCCACACGAAACAACTCGCTCAGAAAACGACAACCGGCCGCTAAACGAGTTTAAAATGCTTAGACGACACAGCAACACCACATTCACTACACCCGCTGCTGCAGCACGAACCGCGATTAACGCTCAAAAAGCACAGAATCACCACAAAAACCACACAACTACCACAAAACAACCACCACAACACAAACCTGCACATCGCAAAGAAGCACAACAAGCTCACACTGCGCAGCGGCGGACATCAAACCCTTTTTCTGACCTTATGAAGACTAAAGCGCCGGACAATGTCTGAAGAGTGACGGTTAGATCCGTAATAAACCCAACACCGGAACAAATCTGACCAAATGAGGACAAATAAGCTGTAAAAGTGTAGATTTACTACACCAAAGCGCTGAAGTACATTGAAGCAGGTAGTTCAGCGATTTCTGACCAGGAGATCGAGCCTGTTTACGCACGACTGGATGGTCTGAATCTAAGAATTGATTCTTGAAACCCTCGAGTCGACTCATTTCCATAACTAGCGAATAGCTGAGCGGAATAAACTCCTGAAGATGACTCGATTGAATCAACAGAATCGATTCCATTGTCATCGACGAGCCTCAGAGAAAGGAATCGACTCTGTTGATTCAACCGAGTCGTTTCCATCCAGTATATCCGCGCTGTACCGAGTCAAACTGTTTTTTTAGTGCTTAGTGCGAGTCTTTAGTTCAGAAACAGAGACGCTGTTAATTATTCCGCTGTTCATGTTTTGTTGTTTAAAGAAAGGACTGCAAGTTAAATTCCAACAGTAATGCAGCTCAAATAAGATCTAAAATGTTCTACAATGATCTGAAACGATCTGAAAATCTTGTATGTATTGTATAGCTCACTTCTCTGCTGAGGTGGTTAGCGTTATGTATATATGTATTATGTATGTATTTACCAGACACCTGATTTTGCTGATTATTAGTAAAAACTAATAGACATTAGTTCAAATTAGCAAACACTGGCTAATGTAATATCATGGAGTGTGAAACATGTTCCTAAGAGATACTCAGGTGTTCACGCTCTTGTATCCTATTAGCTAGGAATAAAGCGAGGGGCAGGATAAAATCTGAACTGCTACAGCTGTGGAGACACACACACACACACACACACACACAACAGACCAACACAGTCAATAGAATAGAATAGAATAGAATAGAATGATTCCAGTATAAATGTGTTTCTCTGTGTTTGTTTCTTTGCTTTCTTGTTTCTCTTGTACTGAATATTTTCTGCTGTTTAATGTCGACCATCATTCTTATAATTAGAGCTGAACTGAACAGCATTTTACAGGCTTTGAAGACTCGTTTGTGTTTCTGATCGAGTTCGAGTTCTGATCACCACCTTAAAAACACTCATATTTACATTTAATAATTTACTACAGTTTTACAGATTTTTCTTTATTTTCTATTTTATTTTTCCAAATATTCCAGTTTTTACTACTAAAAAACAGTTACGCATTTAAACCTGCCTTTTAGACAAGGGACGTCTCAAAGATGCTGAGAGACCCCTGCTAGAAACAACAGCGTAGACCACCATATGTTATGCTTTGGATGCTGGAATGCTGGCCAACCACCATGACCACTACTCAGTGACCAGCTGAACCAGCAGCAGACCAGCTTAAACTGGACTAAACCATCTTAGTGCAGCTTAAATCATCATAAACCTGCTGATACTAAATAAGGCAACATACCAACAAAACATATGGATATTCAGATATTCAGATTATTCAGGCCAGTCCTACTAAAATATGTCTTAAATGATATTGTGTCAGTTTGTTTCTGTAAAAGTACAAATTTCATTTGTAAAGATACAAAACATGAATTTACTTCTGATCAGACTTATTTTAATTTAATTTTAATTATACAGTTACTATGAATTTTGCTCTTTTTCCATCCTCATGTTCCACAGCAGGACAGCTCCTCTTACCATGAGGAGGGATTTTACTGAACTCCTCTCTGCAGAACTCCTCTAGTCGCTCCTTCAGCTCAGAGAGAGATCTCCTCACTCCATCAAATGAGAGGTGTTGATGGACAGTGATGCTGGGTGAGTCCTCAGATCCAGAAGAGACACAGAGAGACTGGAAACTCTACAGAGAGAACAAACACAGTGGAGAAAGATAAAGGAGTACGAGAGAAATGAAGGAGCTCCAATCAGACTAAAGACAGACTTGTGATCACAGACAGGTAGATTTACTGCTGCCTTAATGAACTTTTGCTGAGAGGAGTTTTAGAAGCTGGATGAGGAACAGGTTCCTCTGTAGATCAGTGATTGTTACCTGGAGGAAATGGATGTGATCCTCTGTGTGTGAAAGCTGCTCCAGCTCAGTGTGTCTCCTCTTTAGATCAGCGATCTCCTGCTCCAGTTTCTCCAGGAGTTCTTCAGCTCCACTCAGTTCAGCCTCCTCCTGAGCTCTGATCAGCTCTGCTACCTCAGAGCGCTTTTTCTCAATGGAGCGGATCAGTTCAGTAAAGATCCTCTCACTGTCCTCCACTGCTGACTGAGCACAGCGCTGTTAGGACAAGAACACACCAGATGGAGGAACATTTCACCTCTTAAACTGAGTCGCATTATTCAGTCATTCATCTCAACGTTTATCATTCAGTAACTATATGAAACTAAAGGAAATCTACAGCCACATTCAGGATCTTAAAGGGTTAAAAGAACAGTTAAAATATCAAATTTGCTCAGTTTTCCCCAAATTACCTTCAATGTAGTTTAAATGTAATGGAAGCTTATCTCTATTATCATGGTGTAAACTGCATGACTATATTCTCACAGTTAACAAACCACACTGAGTTGTTAAATAATGTAGAACAGACTTGTTTGTAGTTACTGACACTGTAAATAACATCTATAAAATAAAGAAGAAAACTTTTGTAGCTATGTGACATTATTTTGTCCGTGTTTACAGATAACAGTGTGTCATACAGTGTCAGAAAACTCATAATCAAGCCTGTTAGGCCTTTTTCAGTCAGACAGCCCAAAGGTGAGTTTTTGTCAGATCCGATTTGAGCTGAACAGATTTCCTGCAGTCTGAATCACAAAAAGCCACTTCAAACCACTTTAAGCCACTTTTGTTTACCATTGGAAAAAAAGGTTCTGTGCAGGTTCGTATTTCAGTCATCAAGGTACAAAAAATATAAACGTACTACAGCGGATTTAATGTCTAATTGCGTACCTTAAATACGTTTTTTCCAGAAAAAAGACACATTATTACCTTTTCATTACCAAAAGTTTTAAATCGAACAATGAAATAAAAAGGCTGGAGACGAGACGGACTGTGTGGAGTCAAAACAACTTAAAAATGTACTTGCAGTAGAATTTGATACATTTGTGTTCCCTGACTAAAGGTAGTGAAGTCGTACCCTTGTCAGCACCGCTGTGACAGTTTAGGACCTTTTTCTGAAAGTGCAGGTGGTTTCGAATCTGATTCAAGTCAGATTTTGGGATATGTGACTCAGTTTGACTAGTCAGATCAGATTTCATGTGTTTCCATCATTTGGGGCGACAGTTCATGTTACAGCTTAAAGATGGAGAGTAAAAGTTTTTAACAGACGTTTAAGAAACATATAGTTTTACTTTATATGTTGTAGTTTACAGAGACTGATTCATTAAAAGACGACACTAATGTAGGCGTCTTTTAATGAAACGCATATTTCAAACGTGAAAACTGGAGGTTCATCATCTCTCCCTCCAGAAATCTCTGGAATAATCATGAACTACTGGAGCTCTTCTTGAATCCCAGCACTTCCATCACTCTGGATTTGACCACGTCTTTGTTGGTCACATTTCAAGTGACGAAAAAGACACATTAAAATCCGATTTGAGTTTCCAGAGCGTCCAGACTGAGACTCATCTGTAAAATCCGATTGGAATCGCATTTCAAACCACTTCCAAATATGGTTTGGATCCGATTTGCAAAAATCGGATTTCATGTGGTTTTTCTCAGTCCAGACTATCACCAATGAATCTGGATAAATTATTATGCCAAAAATCGGATTTGGGCTGGCAGTCTGAACATAGCTGTAAAGTCAGATCACCAGTAATCAACCAATGACACAACACCAATGCTGTCAACAGTCTGACACAACTGAGCAGGTAACAGCTGGCTGTGAATGATGTACTATACGGTGCCCCCACACTATACACTATATACAGTACCTACATCCTAGTGGATTGAATACATGTACAAATCAGCTGCCAATCACCTGATACTGTGATTAATAAGTCTTATAATGTAAATCTGATTTCTCACCAAACAGTTCCTTTAAAACTGAACCATCATTTCCTCTCTTACTGTGATTCTAGATGACTTACTGTCCACACTGTGGAGGAGAGACTGACTGAGCTCTGAAACACCAAATCTCTGCTCAGTTCTCACCTTAAGAGTCTTCACAGCCTGTTTCAGCTCCTGCTGCTTCTTCTGCTTCTCCTGGATTCTCTGCTGGAATTTACTCTGAATCTCCTTCAGCTGATTCTATGAACAAATACATTTTGTGATGTTTATGAGTTTTTTGTGAATTAAAACCTAAAAACATGTTCTTGTTCTGTACAGTTTGCTCTCTGTCATGTGATCACTGTAAGAATGAAAGACGGGTGTTGGCTGGTCACAGGATCACTGACTGGTCTGACCTGTTTACTGAAAACTCACTGCTTGAGTTCAAGAATTGAAAGATCAGTTTAAACTGTTTACCTGATTAATGCAGCTCATTCTAGACTACAAACCCAATCAGCCTGAACTGAACCCAAATGATTTCTAGTTCTCACCTGTTTCTCGGTTCTCTCAGTTACAGCTGGGACTGTATCGTGACCTTTGTGTTCCTCCATTGTACATAAATAGCAGATGCAGCTTTGGTCAGTACGACAGTAGATCTCGATCAGTTTGTCGTGCTGAGAGCAGATCTTCTCCTGTAGCTGTGAGGAGGCTTTGACCAGCTTGTGCTTTTTCAATCCAGGAACTTCACAGTGAGGTTTAAGATGAGTTTCACAAAAGGAAACCAGACACGTCAGACAGGACTTGATGGCTCTGAGTTTTCTCCCAGTGCAGAAATCACACTCCACATCTCCAGGTCCAGCGTAACGGGGAGCAGGAGGAGCAGCTCGGAGTTCTGTCTCCTTCAGTTTCTCCACCACTTCAGCCAGCATGTTGTTTCTGCGTAGAACAGGCCTTGGAGTGAAGGTCTCTCTGCACTGGGGGCAGCTGTAGACCCCCCTCTGATCCTCCTGATCCCAGCAGCCATTAATACACACCATACAGAAACTGTGTCCACAAGGAAGAGACACTGGATCCTTCAGCAGATCCAGACAGACTGGACAGCTGAACTGGTCGTGATCTACTGAAATACTGGCCATTTTCCTGCCCTTCTAGTCTGAGAGAGAGCAGCTCTCTGAGATCAGTTTCGTTTTCTCTGAACTGAGTAGGAGGGACTTCCTGGTTTTCTGCTGGTTAGTGTGTCACAGAGAGGAGGTGGAGAAAGAAGCCACTGGATTAAACTGACTCCAAAAGTTCAAAGTTATGAAATATTAGTTAGTTATTATGCCAACTATTATGTAAAGTATCAGCTAACTTGGTAGCCAACTAGCCTGTTAATATTTCTAGCTTTAACTCACTCAATACCTGGTTAACTGAGCTAGTTAATTCGTTGGGCCAAACTTTTTTGTTGGGAAATGGACACCGTACATTCTCACCTCCAGTACAATAGCATTTCATAGCTTGAAGCTTGTTATTGCTGAAATCCTCATCTATAAAGTGCAACCAAATGAAGATCACTGGGTTCTGTTAACAAGCCTTCTATAACCAGTTAATACTTTATACTGACTCTGTTCTGCCCTCACTAGATGAGGCTAGCAGGTAGCTAACAGGCTAACAAGCTGCTTCAACAATATTGAGAATCTACCTTTAAAGATGGATTTAAGGTAAAACTGCACATAAAGAATGTCTTTTAAATGGCTGATATGAGCTTCACATGCTCATGTTTAAGCTGCAGTTGGTATCAAATATGATTAGATGACCCGCTAGCTTGGTGCTACAAATTTCCATAGGGGAGCTAAAGGAAATTATCATTATACTCGCAGCTGATCAGATTATGATAGGCTACTTATAAAGCGAATTGCCAGGTTTCTGCATTAAACATTTCTATGCAAAGACAGATCTTTATGATTTTACCAATAAATCTGGGTCACAGCATAAACACAACTGAAGAATTCAGGAAATTACTGAAATATCCCACATTTTACTTTAAATTCTGTTTGATCTCAGTTAAAAGTGAACGCCACACTTCAGTGGCTGAAAAATATACTCTGCATGCTGAAATAAGTTCTCTGCTGCTGTTCTAGAGCAGGAGAACCAAGTTGGGAAAATCCCCTGCTCTGCTGTGATTTCCATCTCTACATGTGGTAGCAATTTTTCCAGGTTTTAGTGCACCGTCCACCTCATGAGTTATGAATATTGAAAATGGTATGCCATGATGGACTGCAGTCGAAAATCTGAATAATGTTATTCACAAGTATCATTAGTTTCACATGCATCATTAATATACAACCCCATTTCCAAAAAAGTTGGGACGCTGTGCAGAATGCAAATAAAAATAGGACGCAATGATCTGCAAATCATGTAAATCATATTGTTAAAGGAAAATACTACAAAGACAACAAATCATCAAAAATGGTGAAACTGAGAAATTTTATTGTTTTTTGAAAAATATTTGCCTATTTTGAATTTGATGGCAACAACATGTTCCAAAAAAGTCAGGACGGGGGCCTGTTTACCACTGAGTTTCATCACCTCTTCTTTTAACAGCACTCTGTAAGCGTTTGGGAAGTGAGGAGACACTGCTGTAGTTTTGAAAGTGAAATGTTTTCCATTCTTGTTTGATACAGGACTTCAGCTGCTCAACAGTTAAAAGTCCCCTTTGTTGTATTTTTCATTTTATAATGTGCCAAATGTTTTCAGTGGTGACAGGTCTGGACTGCAGGTAGGCCAGTTTAGCACCCAGACTCTTTTAGTACAGAGCAGTGCTGTTGTAATACATGCAGAATGTGATTTTACACTGTCTTGCTGAAATAATCAAGGCCTTCCCTGAAAAAGACGTTGTCTGAATGGCAGCATATGTTGTCAAAACATGCATATCATTCAGCATTTATGGTGCCTTCACAGATGAGCACGTCACCCATGCCATGTGCACTAATGCACCCCTATACCATCATGAATACTGGCTTTTGAATTGTGCACTGATAACAAGCTGAGTCGTCTTTAGCCCAGAGGACACAGTGTCCATTATTTCCAAAAAGAATTTCAAATGTTGATTCGTCGAACCACAGGACACTTTGCCACTTCGCCTCAGTCCATTTAAAATGAGCTCTGGCCCAGAGAAGGTGTCAGCATTTCTGGATCCTGTTTATGTACAGTTTCTTCTTTGCATTTTTGAGTTTTAAAGCAGCGACGAACTGTTTTCACAGACAGTGGTTTTCACAAGTGTTCTTGAGCCCATGCAGTGATTTCCACCACAGGATCATGTCTGTTTTTAATGCAGTGCCGCCTGAGAATCCAAAGATCACAGCCAGCAAATACTGGTTTTTGGCCTTGTCCCTTGCATATAGAGATTTCTCCAGATTCATTGAACCTTTAAATGTTTTGTACCGTAGATGATGAAAAGCAAAAGTTCTTTGCTATTTTATGTTCAGAAATGTTATTCTTGAATTGTTGCACGATTTGCTTATGCAGTCTTTCACAGAGTGGTGAACCTTCCTCCTCTTTATTTTTGTAAGACTCAGACTCTTTGAGATGCTTTTCTATACCCAATCATGTTACTGACCTGTTGCCAATCAACCACCAGGTGTTCTTTTAGCATTACTCGACTTTACCAGCCTTTTGTTGCCCCCATCCCAACTTCTTTGAAACGCGTTGTTGGCATCAAATTCTAAATGGGCAAATATTTTTCAAAAAACAAGTTTTCACATCTGATTTGCTGTCTTTGTACCATTTTCAATTAAATATGGGGTTTAAATGATTTGCACATTATTGCATTTTGTTTTTATTTACATTTTGCAGAGCGTCACAACTTTTGGAAATGAGGTTGTATCATCCAGTCTTTCCAACTTTAGCTAGAGCATGACATCACTCAAGAGAAGAACTTTTGTCTTATTAGAACCATTTAGGACTGACTTGGCCGTGTTTTTTATAATAAACCAACCATTCCCATTTGGTTTATATGTTATATTATAATAGCACTGGACATTCCAGACATTTTAAGATTTCTGCATAATTAAGTGGTTCAGTAATTAAGTATATCCAACCTTGAGTAGGTGTACCCCTGGTTCCTGTCACCATCACTGAGTTGGTAAGTGGGCGTGGCACTTTCTCAGGAAAAGCAAAACAAAAACAGCATCACCACATTCGTTCATGTAACAGGACTGGTTTATTGTCTCACATAGAGCTCTCCTGTCTCTCCTCCAGGAGAAGCTCTGCTGATGCTTCTTTTCATTTCACACCATTTACATCTTTAAATACATGTTATTCATAATTTCATGATTTTCAAAATACTGAAAAGTGGCAACCCTTTCTCCCAGTAAGGGTTTTCAATCATGCATGGTACTGAGTTCACCCTAAATCCATCCACAAAAAGAAAGGAAAAAAAAAATGTTGTTCAGTATCAAAATAAACAGCATCCATCGGGTAAAAGGCAAAAACATTAGACATCTCACACTCACGAATGAACACCCATCGGGAATTTCTGTATTTACTTCACTATAAAAGAACAATCTGTCTTGCTGCTGTGATTGTTGTAGAACTTGCAAGAGCTGAAGTGATGCAGCCACACAGTCAACCACCGCTCACACTCTAGAACATGACTATACACCTATCATACAGCAGGACAGCCTCCTTCCAACATGACGCTATGCATTTTAAACTCAGTAACAGGGAGCAATGAACCAATGAGGTACCAAAGAGGCTCCGAGACGGGTTTAGATGCAGACTAAGGGAGCAGAAGCTATTAAATACCACCACAGTCATTTCCATCCATCCATCCATCCATCATCTAAACCGCTTATCCTTCTGGGTCGCAGTGGAGCCTATCCCAGCTGTCATCAGGCAGAAGGCAGGATACACCCTGGACAGGTCGCCAGTCCAGCGCAGGGCAGACATACAGACATACACATTCACACACACACACACACACCTAGGGGCAATTTAGCATGTCCGATTGGCCTGACTGCATGTTTTTGGACTGTGGGAGGAAACCGGAGTACCCGGAGGAAACCCACACAGACACGGGGAGAACTCCACACAGAAATGAACCCAGGCCCTTCTTGCTGTGAGGCGACAGTGCTACCCACTGCGCCACCGTGCTGTCCACAGTCATTACCGTCAAAGGTGAAATGATTCAAGTCAAAAGTTTGAACTCACCCGACTGGTTTACATTGCATTTTTAACGGAGTGGTCACCAACTGTCCTCCTAAAGATCTACTTTCCAACCTGCATCTAACATTCTGCCCATTCCTCACCTAACACTAAAATGATCTGACCCAGCCAATCAAGGCCTTCTGAAGAAGTTAATCAGCTGGAGAAGATGTAGTTGGAACTGGATTCAACAGGGAAGTAGATCTCCAGAACCAGTTTGGGGGACCACAGATCTTTCAGCTGGTCCTTCAATGCTTGACATTTGTTTCTAAGACGAATATAAATAAAGAAGTTGAATATGTGCAAACTTTAATAGGCTTTTTTAATGTTCATGTTATTTTTCACATCTTCATCACTGATCTAAAACGAGAAAGACACATCCTTTATACATGTCTTCTAACCTTTGACTGGTACTGTAGGTCATAAGCATAGAAAAAAATGAGCAATTTTCACACAGAAACCTGACTCATCTGCAGTTCACACTATGGTCACAAGAGGGCAGCAGATAACAGAGCCCCACCTAAAGCAGAAAATGGGCCTGGCTTGGAGAAAACAATCAAAAGACATCCTCTTACCCCGATCAATATTCCTGCAAACAATCAAAAGACACACCAGTGTTCATTCTAAACCTTCAAATCAAATCATAGCGACTTATCAGCCAACTGAACGATCACCACCAGTTTCAGAATATTCTAGAACATGGATACTTAAGTATGCACGCACGCACACACTCATACAGGCTGCATCCACCCAGCTTGTGCACATTTCCAGAACGTCACAGGAGCTCATGTTGAACAAGACGGAAGGAGCAAACCTGAACTCATCAAGACTAGATTTCTCAGTCTAAACTCACAGAACTGACCAATCCATGCTCTGCCCACAAATGCATTCTTTCAAAGCAGCCATTGAGAAGCTTTGAAAAGTCCAGCCACAGTGCGGTCAGATGCTGTAACCCAACGGGAGAGGAGGGATACTTTTACTGCAGAAATCCTTTATGGGGTCGTTGTTTCCCACCAAAAAAGAAGTTATCTGATGTCGGCACTATAATAACTACAATATTAGCTCAGACTGTAACATGTCCTTTGTGAATATTGGTTAGAGTGCAAACTGTTTAATATAGAGATATTATTATTTCTCTGAAAGCTTACTTTTTTTTAGATTTCTCAGAGCCGTCTCTGGATCCCAACACAACGCATCATCTCCTCAGCCTGTCTGAGAAGAACAAAGGGATCGAATGGAGTGAGAATCTCTGATCATCCAAAATCTCTGATTTGAAAGCTGGAATCAGGTGTTGTGTAAAGACGGTCTCAGTAGACGCTGTTACTGGGAGGTTGAGTGGAACTGAATGGGGTGGGTGTTCGTATCAGTCTCATATAAACAGATCAGCAGGAGAGGTGGGTGTTAGGAGAGTGAGTCTGGATGCAACAGTCAGTCCTGGAGTCTGGACTGTTCTTCTTCTCTCACTTTCTGGCACAACAACATTCAGACTGAGATCTCAGGACCATCATCCTCCAGAATAGGAGTGTATGTGGATCACAGTGCAGGAACTCTGTCCTTCTACAGCATCTCTGACACAATGACCCTCCTACACACAGTCCACACCACATTCACTCAGCCGCTCTACGCTGGGTTTGGGGTGGGTGGTGCTGGATCAATCGTGAGGTTTTGTTGGAAAAAGTCATGTGTCTATTGAAGAAAACTGGAGAGCTACTTTCGTAATCGCATCTAAGGCTCATGTTCAGACTGCAGGCAAATCGGATCTTTTGAAACGACTGACACTGTTATCTGCAAGTGATCACATCAGATTTGTGTGGGTTGCCGTGGTATCAATGTGGGCGTGGATGTAGCAGAGATGGAGGTGGATGATCTCACCCCTCAAACTTAAAATTCTCTGGCACAAACATGAATCTTTGGCGTGCCATTTGAATCCCAGCACTTCCGTCACTCTGGATTTGGCATTAGCGGTGTTTGTCACATTGTGAGTGATGCAAACGACACTTCGAAATCTGATTTAAGGGGTCCAGAGTGTCCAGATTGTGATGCATTTCACCTCCAAATGTGGGCATTTGCCTACATAATTAAACACACACACAGACTCAGCTGGGAAATGTTATTAACCCTTGTGAGGTGTTGATGTGTTTGTTACTCAGTGGTCTGGTGGACCCACCACCTTCTCCTTTAGCAGCTGTAGCCAGTCAGCAGCCAGTCCATGTTGTCCACCCTCACAGACACACACACAAATACACATATACACATATATAAACACACACACATACACAAACACATATACACACACAGACATACACACACACTAACAGCAGGCCCTGTAGGAGGAGACTAGAGTGAAGCACACAGCACCTGCCCACTTTTATTCCCCGCGGGTTCACCCAACACCACATGTGTAATATAAATGTGTGGGGGGTGAGCAGAGTGAAGACACTGAACATGTGTTATTTAATATGTTCTTCACAGAAAATGAGCGAAGGCCAAGAATCTGAGGTTGAAATAATAATAAATCACATCATTTTTTCTTTTGGTAAACATTGAAAATGGGTGCCACAGACCTGAACACCACACAAGGGTTAAGCAAGACGATAAATGATCAAAGGCTACTAACTTTGGATAATTAACACGGTTTGCCATCATAAAAGCAAAACAATTTGTTTACTTTGGCAAACATGTTAACTTGATGTTAAATAACTGATCCACATTAAGTTTGACTTTTAATGTGGAATAAAGGTGAAGGTGACTTTTTTCATATGGTAGATTTTAATTTTCATTCATAGTTTCACTACTGTTAGTTGGTTATAGCTGTTTGGTGAAGAAGAATAATAGAGATAATACAGTGATTGCCTTGCGAACAACTTCAGTAGAATTGCCTTTTCTGAAGCATACACACTTGGAAGGCAAGACATTTATAGTCTTGAACATTTATTCCAAAAAAAGGAGAAAAAAGAAGGAATGAAAAAGAGAATAATAAAACAATAAAGACAGAAAGAATTAAAGATCCAGGTAAAATGTTACAATGACTGTTGCAACAGTACTTTTATTGTGGTATCTCATGCCATCTACTGGAGAAGTGTCACAACTATCAACTCTACAAATGATATTTTTCAGTGATACGTCCAGAATTTAGACATATTAAAACAGGAGCAAAAGAAAAAAGAAAAATCACCTGAAAAGCAACGTCCTACAGCATGACCTAGTAGGAAAATATCAAAATGTTGAAAGTTTGGTAGGAGTGCCAGATAAAAGTACTACATGGCCAAAAGTATGTGGACATCCCTTCTAATTAGTGGGTTTGGCTATTGAAGTCACATCCATTGCTAACAGGTGTATACAATCAAGCACAGATCTATACTGTCTCCAAAGACCTACCTTCTTTGTAGAATGGGTCGTACTGAAGAGCCAAGTAACCTTTAAAGCGATGCCTTTTCATCTGGTCCGTTTGTCAAATGTCTGCCCTGCCAGAGCTGCCCCAGTCACCTGTCAGTGCTGTTACTGTGAAGAGGAAAGCTCAGTTGTCGGCTGCACAAGTTCACAGAGCAGGACTGCTGAGTGCTGTGCTCAGTTATAGCCCTCATCATCATCAACTCCAAACCACATCTGGAAGCAACGTCAGCGCAAGAACTGTTTGTTAGGAGCTTCATGGATGGTTTCTATAATGACCACAGTAGCAGAACAGCAGAACACAAGTCTAAGATCACTGTGCGCAATGAGAAGCATCAGCTGGAGGGGTGTCAAACATGGCACTACTGGACTAGAGCAGTGCAAATTTGTTTACTAGAGTGATGAATCATCCTTCACTATTTGGCACTCTGACAGATGAATTTGAGTTTGGTGGATGCATGAAAACAGAGCCTGAATGCAGAGTTTGGTGGAGGAGAAATAATTGTCTGGGATTTTTCATGGTTGTAGTTCCAAGGAGGGGAAAATTTGACGTTATATTATATTATATTTAAATTCCAAAGAAACTGTGTGATTCCAGTTTATGCCATGTTTGCTCACTTTATATCATTAGAATAGAAACATTTTATACAACAACAACAACAACAACAATAATAATAATAATAATAATAATAAATGCTTGTTTTCAAACATTTTGTCATATCAAAAAATCTTTGGTTTATTTAGAAACAGTTCTATTTTTTACTGGTATTATAAACTCAAAATAAAATTAGTTATTGTCAATAAATAGTTTCTATAAGTTATATTTAGTCTCTGTCCATCAAAGAAAATGTCTTAATTATTCAGATCAGAGCAAAGTTCATTGAGTTTTACACTGAACCACATATTGAACACTTCTAGGATTAAGCCTGTTAGTTTCATATATCTAGTTAATTGTCTATATTTCTAGGAAGTAGATGCACTATATTATAGTCAGACCAGCCCTGATGTCTAAGAGATCTGGATATAAAGACATTAGTTACATTACTGTAACACAAATAAACAGATTGTTGAACATTTGTGAGCAAATTGGAGACATTATATTTATTACAATCACCCAATGAAAGAGTTTCTGTCTAGAGACCCATTCAGTGACTGAGTAACACACTCAGCAATGTGCTCTACTGTACAGCTGAAGACACACAAAGCTTCCACATGTCCATGTTTATCCATAACAGTATTAAGTATTTTCTTGTTGGTAATGTGATCATCAAATACTGTTCATTTAAGAATCTGAACACTCACTTAGTAAAAATAGTCTTTAGTGATAAAACTGGTGCTGCTGTAGAGAAACACAGTAGGTAATGTGGCTTCATTTAAGATGGAGCTGATCAAGCTCTCTTTCAGTGGTTAATGATCCATAAATGCAGTTTATTAGTCTTAGGTTGCCAGATAATCTCACCTACCTACAGTCAGATCAATTAGTATGTGTGTTAACTTATTCTTCTTTTCA